AGAGACTTTTTGAAAGCTGAGTAATATTTGAATATTCTTTTGTATGAGGAATAGAGGAAGCTTAAAAAGTTTTGACTGGTCTTTGCCTCCTGGCATCTTTGAACTTCCATCTTATTATGTTTAAAAGGGGAAAATGCTCTGACTTTGGCCAATACTAAAACCTAATCAGTGTTTTATTTCCTTCATGGGTCTTATTGGTTTCAGAAATTACTGTGTTTATTTTCCATCTTTCAAACTGCTCCTTTAGAATATAAGTACCATGAGGGCAGGAGCCTTTGGCTGTATTGGTCATCTCTAAGATCTGGAACATAGGATCTAAATGAAGATTTTTAAGTTTATTGAATAAAAGAACAAATGAATGAATGAATGGATGGTAGTAGATTATAAGCCATGCATTTTTTTATACAGCACCTAGAACAATTCAGCAATTCAATGTTATAAGGAGAAGAACGTATCAAAGAAACTACAGAGGCAATGATGTGAAAACATCCTTCTCGTATCATTCATAAGGCAATCATGATATTTAGTTTCCTCTCTTCTAGTGAAAAACTGAAACCATTACCCAACTCACGTATTTGAATATTTCAGTAATATCTCTCAGAGATATACTTCTCAAACGACAGGACAAAGATCCAGTAAATAAGGTTCAGATGGTGCCAAACCTTTGTACTGTGACAAAGCCAACATGCAATTCTAAAGTATAAGAAGATATAACATGTGTAAATATTCATGCAACCAACACAGGAGCACCAAAATATATAAAGCAAATATTAACAGACCTACAGTGAGAAATAGAAAGCAATTCGGTAACAGCAGGGGACTTTAATAGCCCACTTACATCAATGGATAGATCATCCAGACAGAAAATCAATAAGGAAACATCTGCCTTAAATGGCATGTTAGACCAGAAGGACTTAACAGATATATACAGAGCATTTCACTCAAAAGCAATAGAATACCCATTCTTTCTAAGTGTACATGGAACATTTTCTAGTTGAGATATATTAGGCAACAAAATAAGGCTTATAAGTTTGAGAGGATGAAAATCATATCAACCATTTTTTTCCAAGCACAATGATATGAAACTAAAAATTAATTACATGAAGAAAACTGGAAAATTCACAAATATGTGGAGATTAAGCAACATGCTACTGAAAAACAAATGGGTCAAAGACAAATCGAAAGAAATTAAAAAGTATTTTGAGACAAACAAAAATAGAAATGTAGCATACCAAAATTTGTGGGATGCAGCAAAAAATTTCTAACAGGGAGGTTCATAGCGACAAATGCCTACCTTAAGAAACAAGAAAAGTCTCAAATAAACAACCCAACATTACAGCTCACGGAACTAGAAAAAAGAACAAAGTCCAAAGTTAGTAGAAGAAAGGAAACAACAAGGATTAGAGCAAAAGTAAATGAAATGGGACTAAAAGGACAATAGAAAAAAAATCAATAAAATTAGGAGCTGATTCTTTGAAAAGATAAACAAAATTGAAAAGCCTTTAGCTAGACTCACCAAGAAGGAGGACTCAAATAAATTAAATCAGAAATGAAAGAGGATATGTTGCACTGATACCACAGGAGTACAAAGAATCATAAGAGACTACTAGGAACAATAATATGCCAACAAATTGCACTACCTAGAAGAAATGGATAAATTCCTAGAAACACACAACCTAACGAGACTGAATCATGATTCAGCAGGGAGCCTGCTTCTCCTCCCTCTGCTGCTCCCCCTGCTTGTGCTCTCTCGCTTTCTCTGTCAAATAAATAAATAAAATCTTTATAAAAAAGACTGAATCATGATGAAATAAAAAATCTGAACAGACTGATTACTAGTAAGAAGATTAAATCTGTATTAAAAAAACCCTCTAAGAACCAAAAGTCCAGGACCAGATGACTTCACTGGTGAATTCTACCAAATATTTGAAGAATTAATACCAATCGTTCTCAAACTCTTCCAAAAAAATAGAAGAGGAGAGAATTCTTCCAAACTCATTTATGAGGCCAGTATTACCCTGATACCAAACCAGACAAGAATGTTACAAATTATATGCCAATATCCCTGCTGGACATAGATGCAAAATCCTCAACAAAATATTAGCAAAATGAATTCAACAATAGATTAAAAGGATCATACATGGTCATACCATGATCAAGTGGGATCTATTCCAGGGACACAAGGATGGTTCAACATCCACAAATCGATGTGTTTACACCACCTTAACAAAATGAAAGGTAAAAATCATATGATCATTTCAATAGATGCAGGAAAGCATTTGACACATTCAGCATCCATTTATGATAAAAACTTTCAACAAAGTGGCTATAGAGGGAATGTAATAAAGGCCATATATGATGAGTGCACAGATAACATCATACTCAACAGTAAAAGCTGAGAGCTTTTCCTCTAAAATAAGGAACAGGACAAGGATGCCCATGCTCACCAATTTCATTCAACACAGTAATGGAAGTCCTAGCCAGAGCAATTCGGCAAGAAAAAGAAATAACAGGCATCCAAACTGGAAAAAAGTGTCACTATTTGCAGATGACATATTATATATAGAAAACCCTAGAGACTCCATCAAAAAAATGTTAGAACTAAAAAAACAAACAAACAAAACAACTCCCCCAAAAACTGTTCGAACTAATAAACTCATTCAGTAAAGTCATAGGATACAGAATTGACACAAAAAAATCTTCTGCTTTTCTATATACCAGATAACCACAATGAGATATCACCTCACACCTGGTAGAATGACTATTATCAGGAAGAAAAGAAATAATGAGTATTGGTGAGGCTGTGGAGAAAACACCCCTGTTGGTGGGAATGTAAATTGGGGTAGCCACTGTGGAAAACAGTATGGAGGCTCCTCAAAAAATTAAAAATAGGAGCACCTGAATGGTGCAGTTGGTTAAGTGTCCAACTCTTGGTTTCAGCTCAGATTGTGATCTCAGCAATGAGATCAAACCCTGTGGCAGGCTCCACACTCAGCATGGAGTCTGCTTGAGTTTCTTTTTCCCTCTCCTTCTATCTCTCTCCCACTGCTTGCTCTCTCTCTCTCTCAAATAAATAAAATCTTCTAAAAAAATAAAAACAAAACTACCCTGTAGGGGCACCTGGGTGGCTCAGTTGGTTAAGCATCTGACTCTTGGTTTCAGCTCAGGTCATGATCTCAGGGTCATAAGATCGAGCCCTGCATCAGCCTTTGTGCTCAGTGGAGAGTCTGCTTGAGATTCTCTCTCCCTCTCCCTTTGCCCCTCCCCTACTCACACTCCCTCTCTCTAAAATAGTAAACAAATAAATGAACAAACAAATAAATAAGTAAAAATAGAGCTACTCTATAATCCAGCAATTCCACTTCTTGGTGTTTATTCAAAGAAAATGAAAATGTGAGGGGCACCTGGGTGGCTCAGATGGTTAAGTGTCTGCCTTCAGCTCAGGTCATGATCCCAGGGTCCTGGGATCGAGTCCCGCATCGGGCTCCCCGCTCCGCGGGAAGCCTGCTTCTCCCTCTCCCACTCCCTCTGCTTGTGTTCCCTCTCTCGCTCTGTCTCTCTCTGTCAAATAAATAAAATCTTTAAAAAAAAAAAAAAAGAAAATGAAAATGTGATTTGCAACAACACAGATGAAACGTAAGGTCCATGCTAAGTGTAGTAAGTCAGAGAACGACACAGTATGATCTCTTTTATATATGGAGTCTTAAAAAAACAAAAACAAGGAGTGCCTGGGTGACTCAATCTCTTAAGTGTCCAAACCTTGGTTTTGGCTCAGGTCATGATCTCAAGGTTGTGGAATCGAGCCCCACATTGGCTCTGTGTTCAGTGAGGAATCTGCTTCAGATTCTCTCTCCCTCTTCCTCTCACCTGCCTTCTCTCTCTCTCAAATAAATAAATAAAATCTAAAAAAAAAAAAAAAAACCTAACAAAAAACACCCAAAACCACCACCACCAACCACAAAAACAAGTTCATAGATACGGAGAACAGATTGGTGGTTATCATAGGCAAGGGTTGGGGTGGGGGTGGGAGATATGTGTGTAGAGGGTCAAAAGGCAAAAAGAAAAAATAAAAACATAAAACATTCAACAACCCCTAGGTATCTAAAGAAAGAGATCATCTCAGAATGGAGTAAGCAGCAGGAATAGATTCACAGATCCGTGCAATGTTGGAGCTGGTGGGTACATGTTGGAAGCATTCTAAATCTCACATTTTATTTTTATTAAAAAAAATTTTTTTTTATTAGGTAAACTCTATCTCCAATGTAGGGCTTGAACTCACAAACCCAAGATCAAGAATCAAATGATCCACTGACTCGGCCAGCCAGGCACCTCTAAATCTCATATTTTAAGTAGTGACTAGGCCCACGGGGGAAAGGGCATGCCCCAAGTTAACAGAGATATTTATGGGTGCCCCTGGGGAATGCTGAGTACTTAAGAATAGGTGGAACTCTAATACCAGCTTATTTACTTTGTTACAAAATAACCAGTAAATTCAGTAGGACACACACACAAAAATAAAAACCAACATCGGCATTGTTAGTTTGCCATAATGTAGACCAAACAGTCGCTTGTTTTGGTAGAGCTCTAAATCAAGCTGAGTAGGAAAACATTCCAAACACTCATGATTTTCTATGGTAGTAAACAAGTCAGAGACCACAGTGACAGTGAGCATTGGACCATATCTCAGCACCCTTATCTAAGGACAGGAGTGGGTGCGGTCAATTAGGGTGTACAAATTACTTCTTGACTACATTTTTATTTCTTAGCCTTATTAAAAGAAAGAATACTATCTTAACAAATCCGATTTCTGAGATGATTGTATTTCTTCCATTTTTCTTTTTTAGAAGGATACTGTCATGTTGCAGCCATTCTTTTTAGAGGTATCTCTTAATTAGCAATAGAATTCAGGACCTGGTATTCTGAGATTTAGGCGATTGTGCCCAGGAAAAGTATGCCAGTAATAACATAATTAATTGGCTGCAAAAAAAACAAAAAACAAAACGTGATCTTCCAAATTGTCTTAGAAATCTGTATTCTGATGGTACAAATAAACCCAGACATAATGAAGTGGTCTTAGTGAATTGGAAGCCCTGCTTTCCCGCTCTGTATTTATTCCATTTTTACAACAGCTTTTGGTTTAATTTAATACATTATTATAGAAGAAAGGGTCCATTAAACAGCTACAGAAAAGTGAGAAATATGTTCCTTTTAAATTTTTTTAAATGAAGCATTAAAAAGTAGAATACTTCTAAAATGATATTCAAATGATTTTTAATTACTACAAATGCATTGAGATGTTAATACACTTCATATAAAAGGGAGGGATACTCTTCCATCAGTCCTTTTCTGCCACAAATTCCAACCCTAAGAAAATTCTTTCTTTTGATCCACTCTGTTAGCATGTAATAAAAGAACAATAAAACATATGGCTCAATTACCACTGCTTCTCATCAGGCATGAATTAATGAATATCCAATTATTATTAATTGTTTTTTCTGGCTTCCCCTCCATAGGACAATTATACATTGCTGTATTTTGATAAGCGTTTTGTACTTAACGCTTTGCAGACCAGTCTCTAAAAGGAACAGATTCTTGAAATCATTACACAGAAGAATAATTCTTTAAATTTATCAACATTTGGAAAATACATGATGATCATTTAATCTCCCTAGTTGATGTCAGTTTTTCACAACTACCTTAAGCTTCCCTAAAATTCTGCCCTCTCTTCAATATTCTGTACGCCTTCCTTTGAGAAAGCAGTTGCTATGTGCATATAAAATAGTTTATATTCAATTTCTCACAATAATACTAGTTCCTCATATATGATTATTGAATTTTCAATTCCTCAAGAAAAAGCTCTTTAAAAATAAAAGCTATATGGTGCCTGGGTGGCTCAGTCAGTTAAACAACCCACCCTTGATTTTTGGCTCAGGTCATGGTCTCAGAGTCTTGAGATGGAGCTCTGTGTCGGGATCTGCACTGGCCGTGGAACCTGCTTGGGATTCTCTCTCTCCCCCTGCCCCTCCCCCACTACTCTTCTCTCTCAAAAAAATAATAATAAAATAAAAGCTATAGCTAAAGTAGTTAAAGAATTACATTAACCAGCATGGCATAGAATATACAAAATTATGATCTCTGTAATTGAGAACATCGATATCAGTGAATGATATTTATAGACACTCCACAAAAGGTTCTGTGTAACTGGTAGTTCATTTTATTTTTACTTATAAGCTGTCTGCAACTGTAAAGTGCTATGTAATATGAATAGATGCGACAAGCAAAAGAACATGTCTTTGTAATCCACAACCATTATTTCTCAGATTATTCATATACTTGGATTTTGAAATGCATGCAAAGAAAATCTAACAACTTATAATATGTAAACTATACACATCATGTATAATTTTACCCATTACTCATAAATCCATGTTTCTGTTTTTAAAACATTCTATAAAAATTATATCTGTGGCAAACTGAAGGATAACATTAAATTGGTTAGATGTACTATTTAGTTCAAAATGCTTAACAAACACATATTCAAATATGCTTTTAAAGAGAAAACAACACTTGCTTTAGAATCAGAAAATCTGGGGAGCAGAAAGGGACCAATCATTTTGTATGGAAGGGTCAAGTGATCCTCTGAGGTTCATACAACTTTATATGAAACATCTTTCTGCCAAACTTCATAAAAAAATTTCTATCAACATTTCTTTTGAGCATAAAAGAAATATATCTTGCTTTTTTGACAGTTTGTCAGGATGTCAATAGTATCTGTAAATACAAATCCTTAGGGAAACAAAGATGAGAGAAAAGGAAACTTGTCTGTAACGGCAACCACAATGTGCAGCCCACTTACGGAGCAGAGATGGACCTAGTTAGGGTTGACACAGCTCACTGCCATCAGAAGCATCATCCCTTTGACATTGGTAACTGGAACCACTTGAATTTTTCATGGCTAAATCTAGCCAGATACCAGATGACTTCCTTTATGTATATGACCTTATTGAAGGCAATTAGACTATTTATGCAATAGCAGAATTGTTAGTTGTATACAAGGGTCAATCTTCAGTGTAAAAGCTTTTTTAGATGACATATTCTTAAAATAAAATTTAACGTCCTAATGAACACTTTTCTCTTGATTTCCATGTGCCAGAATTATTGAATCCACTTTGCTGAAAATTTTAAAGAAAATAACAGTTAGAAATACAACTTCAGTACAAACATAAGCCTGTAATTAAACAATTTTAAATAACTATTCCTCGACGGGGTAGTGGTGGGTGAAGCATTTTACTTTTTGTTTCTACTGCATTCATCACTATGGCTTTGGGTCAGATGCCATAAACACAAAGTTACCAATGCCTGGTACTTGTACTTATGAGATGCCTGAGAGTCGAGTCTTGCCAACCAATATGTACTATAAAATAGGCAATGCATATGGAGTGCACCTAGACAGGGAGGAAGACACAAAGATCTCTGAGTCTTTTGGTAATCATATCTCCTAAGCTGTTTCATGGATTTCTAGAAGACTGAAAGTTTGAGAGTGCCACCATGCACACCAAGGCCTCTGATATAATACTGGATCATAATAAGGCTGCTAAATTAGGAAGAAAATGGAATATGGGAACTGGCTGGGGAAAGCAGAAAATAGAAAGCCAAGTATGAATATAATTAGGTTTGTTCTTGTAATTGATACTGCAGCCTGATGGAACGTAGGTTTCTGCGTATTTCTCAGAGCATTTTCCAGATGCAGCCTCCCAGTACCTCATTAATGTCACACATTTGTCATTAAATTCCGTATTTTGGATCCCATGTAAGAACTGCACATGCTCCTCTTTTATTTGCCACGCCAGTAAGACATCAGGGAACTTGCCCTCACATAGTACTGTTGACCTGCTATCCAATATCATCTTGGTTATTCTATCTACATATCATTAAATTAAAAATAAAATCCTGATACTGGCTATTAAAAACTAATCAAGTTTCATAGGATTTTATTTTGCTAACTTAGTGTACTTTGTGCATAACTTTTAGATCAACTTTTGAAGTTTTTACACTGCTTAAAGAAAATGAGTTAAAAATGCAAGTCCTTAGTGTTTTCTTCTCATATCATTTATGTCAATTAAGAGCTCATAAAAAATACTTAGATGCTATACTTAATATAGAATTATATAGAACTAGCTCTAAACTTTCCATTTAAAGATAACATTGAAAAGCATTTAGCATAGTAACCAATTAGATACAAAAGTATACTTCAGTGCAAATATAAAAGGTCATTCACAGAAATGGACTTCAAACAATTATTTGAGCAAAGAAGATCTTTATTTTTGTTTAGAAAAAATAAAAAACTTTCCAAAATAAGTGACCTCTTTACTTAGTTGTATTATGCCTGGCCTGATATCAGGAGACAATCATATATGTTGACTGATTTTATACCTTAAAATACTATGATAGTATAACTACCTTCAGCTGAATTCTTAACTAAGTGTAATTAATAAAATATTTTAACTTTATTGAAATCCTTCATTTCAACAATATTAAGTGCTCATTAATATTAGTAAAAGTGATCATTTCTTAAAGAGCTTAACACTTACCCATTACTTTAGAGTAGCAAGGTTCACAGTGTATTGTCTGTCTATAAATCCAAATACTATCACCTGCCTGTAGGTTTTCCAAAGGCCGCTTGCATATTTCACACTAAAGAAAAAAACAGTATATGAAGTTTATACACATTATATATGAAGTCTAGATTCTTAGTGTAACAGGATAGAAAAGCCCTTTCGATTCATTCAGGACCATCCTACATAGCAACACTCAGGTGAAAGAGAACCCACAGGGAAAGCGAGAATGTACTTGTCCAGGACCCTAATGTTGAACTTTTCAAATAAATTCTCACAACATCTCTCTACTCTGAAAATGTGCATTTCAGGGCATATATAGCACTGAAGCTTCTACTTAACTCACAATAGAGTAGATATAAATTTTCAAAAATTGGTTATGCCAAGGATAAGATCACTACTCGATATCGCAAACAAAAACACAAAGCATATTTGTTTGCTTACTAAGGGGGAGTTATGTTGTCCAATTACAGTCTGACTGGACAAAACAGACCTCTGCTATTACATAGGCTTTAGGGAACAGTTTGTTTTGTGTTGTGTTTGTTATGGAGGCAGAAAAGGGTTGACCTGTGTTCTTTGGAAACAAGTTCACTGCTGAATGGCTGACTTCCAAGCATGAGGCTGTCACTGGATGGCTTTCAGAGGTGAGTTCATTGAAGCAAATTGTCACTGATCAATTCAATACATTTAAACAAGTCCAGGTGGTTCTCTATTATCATGACTATAAGAGTAATACATCTTTTCCGAGGACTGTGGGGACATTTTTATCCTCAGTAGTATTTTATAATTAAATCGAAATTGGAAATAAATCATCCAAAATATAATAAATGGAAATTATTGTTATTTACCAAAAGAAATAATTGGGAGAATTATCTTATTTTAAAAAGTTTTCTGGGGTGCCTGGGTGGCTCAGTCGTTAAGCATCTGCCTTCGGCTCAGGTCATGATCCCAGGGTCCTGGGATCGAGCCCCACATCAGGCTCCCTGCTCCGCGGGAAGCCTGCTTCTCCCTCTCCCACTCCCCCTGCTTGTGTTCCCTCTCTGGCTGTCTTTCTCTCTGTCAAATAAATAAAACCTTTTTTTTAAAAAAAAGTTTTCTGCATAATAACTTTAAATAAAGAGCTATGGACTAACTTTTGTTTTATTGAGTAAATTTTCATAACTAAAAGGAAATTTCATTTTCTTATAAGTAATTGTGCAATTTTCACATTTATTTTATATGGAATTCTATAAATTATGGCCTAAAATTGGATTTTTTTCTCAAAACGAGGCATCATATATCTGATTGCTATGTGTCACTGTCTGAAGCTAATTGAAGGAGAAGCAATCAGTTGTCAAAGTATTACATGTACTTGACTGCATTAGGTAATTTATATCAACCACAGAATGTCAGCACAGAAAGGACCCTTGGATTTAAGCAAATGATTCTTAAATTGGTTGCCCTTAGAGCTTATCTAAGGAGCTTTTAAAAATACCAATGCCCAGGAATCATCTTTGAGATTTTTTTATTTAATCAGGGCCAGTCCCAAGCATTCTATTTTTCTCCTAATTGCTCCCAGATGATTATAACGTACAGCCAAGAGTTGAGAACCACTAGTCTAGTCAGTTACCTCATTTTACAGAGAAGGAAACTGAAGCCAAGCTAACTGGTCCAAAATGAGCCACAGTTAGTGGAAGTTAGAACTCGTACTCAGGCCTTCAGATTCCCAGTTCAGTGCTCAACCAGTTACACCAACAACTGTCATGTTAACCTATTCAATATTACTGTGAGAAGTAAGAGAAATGGCGTATGACCACAAACTGAAGCATTCTACTATGTAAGCTTTATTTTTATTATACTACAGCCACAGTTAGTTATAACTAATCATGTTCTCAAAAGCAGACTGACTTTCAACTATTGTTAAAGCCTATCAGTCCTGATTTCACGCCTCATGTAAAAAGCTGCTAGCTTTCTTCTCAACAATTTCTTTTTCTTTTTGGATTTCACGATTTTTTTATGCAATGCATGATTCATTAAAATGTTACAAAAACTTTTATAAAGAGAACAAGTATTTATATTTTTACAGATTTAAATCTCTAGGGTAAGAGTAATAAATGTGTCAGTAATCAACTCTAAGCCCAAAGCCAAGATAGTAATTATAAACCTTTGAGGTTCAGGCTGAACTCTGAGAAATATTTAAGTAGTATATTATTAATGTGGATTAGATTATTTCTGAAGGCTTTAACTTCATCTCATGTATTTCATTAAACAATTATTTTTATTCTAGTCATCATTATGCAGGTCTATATTTCATTAACTGCAATATACATATCCTTACCTTGAAGCAAGTGGAATGGCAGCATATTTGTAATTCATCTAAAATCATTTTTGTTTCTGTGCCCAAAGGTTTCCGGCAATAAGTACACATATCTCTTTCAATGACAGACCTATAGGGATGTAAGCAATTACAAATAAATTTGTCATCATGCAAGTGATGGATGTATTCCCCATAAAGTCATGTGGAAATGACATGTTAATTTTGTTGATACTTTAGGAAATCGTATGAAAATCAAGGGAAGTTGGGGACTTACTTATTCTATTAATAGAATTGATTCTTCTAGTTACCTCAAAATAATATCAAAGAATTAACATGAAGGAAAGTCTCAAATTATTAATTCATTAGCAATCAAGGGTGCATCTGGGCAGGGCAAAGATGTTCACAGTTTCCTAATTGAACTAGGTCATGAGTACCCCTTGAAGCTAGAAGAGGGTTTTGAATTATTAATTTGCATATATCATAGAAGAATTATACTGTAGATTAATATAAAATTTTAGCTCTCAAAACATTCAATAGGACAACAATACAAATCCACTCAAAAGTGTTTTGGTAAGTTCACAAATGATGGGTCCGTGGTACCCCAGACTCTAGGGTCTAGAGTCCCCAGAATGCTCCCCTATAACTGCATATAATCTCTTGGTGTCTTTTAAGACTCAGAATTACAGGGCTAGCTTTCATGACAAAATTTATGTTCTCCAACAAGATATAACCCCTCCACAAATTTGATGAGGAAAAGAGAGTTTTCTTTTTTTTTTTTGGAAAAATAATGTTCAATAACAAATGAACCACAGATATGATCAGCAAGTCCAAAAAGTCACACTATCACCCCATGAACGGCCAACAGCTCTGTGATTCTTTTCCTTTGGGAAGGTATTAGAACTGTCTTAAGTAGCACCTTGCAAAGTTTATTAGTTTCAGGGTGTGAGCAGCAGGACTGAAATTTCCACAGTAGGGCACACAATGGGGTGGTAAAAGAAAAATACCCAATACTGGGGCGCCTGGGTGGCTCGGGCGGTTAAACATCCGACTCTTGGTGTTGGCTCATGCCACGATCTCAGGGTCATGAGATTGAGCCCCACATCAGGCTCCATTCTCAGCGTGGAGTCTGCCTGACTCCCTCTGTCCCTCCCCTTCACCCCTCCCCCTCCCCTTCACCCCTCCCCTTCTCGTGCGTGCTCTCTCTAAAATAAATAATTTTTTAAAAATAGCCAGTGCTTATATAGTGCTAATATACTTTATACAGGCAGTGTGCTTTCCACGCACATGGCTCATATAAACTCATTTATTTTTCACAACGTGTCTGAGAAGCAGGTACGACTATTTTTACATCATTTTACAGAAGAAGAAACTGAAGCTTAGAAGGGTAAGAAATTTGCTAGGTCATGCAGACAATTGAGTGGCAGGGGCAGGATTTGAGTGAGGCAGTGTGGACCCAGAGTCCCTGGGCTACCCTAGGCCTGCCCATGAAGACTATTGGGCTCCCTGTGGGAAAGTGAACTAGTCGTGCCCAGGAGCCTTGATCCTAGGATCAAGCCCAGGACTAGAAGCAGAGAGGAGAGAAAAACAGATGGAAGGAGGAGGTAGATGAGATTCAAGCAGATGAAACTTGTCTGGTTTTATACTTTCAGTCATTCTAACACCCTCTTCCAAGTCCTTATATATATATATCAATAAATATTTTCCTCTTTCAATTAACTCTAAAGGTACTTCCTTACATATTCCTGGCAAATACTTTCCTATGCATAATTCATATATATACATGCATGTGTGCACACACACTTAAATTTCCCATGTAAGACTGTAAGCGCTTCAAGAGTAGAAAACAGGCACTCTCTACTCTGCTTCCATTGTAGAGGCACTGAGGGAAGAGCTGGGAATATAAAGAAGAGTGAGACGGTCTCCTTCCTTCCATGAGGGCAGCCAAGTGTATGATTCGATGATCACAGCATATTACGGATACATGGAGAGAATTAGGAGAGCATGGCCAACGAAGCAACTCTTCCCCGGCGTGGAGTCAGGGAGGCCTTGTTGGAAAAAGTGCCACATGAGTTAAAGCTTGAAGACAGAGGAGCTTTCAAGGTGAGCTTGGTGAGGTGCAGAGGGGCAGGGGAGAGGAATTCCATGCAGAGTGAACAGGATGTACCCAAGAGAGTATCTGGAGTGATTAAACACCAGTCAATATTCAGCAGGAGCAGGTTTTAAAGGCCCATAAATAATTGTGCAAAGGAATTAGTCCTTATCCTGTAAAATGTGAAGCCACTTTAAATGGGATTGAAATGCTTAGATAAGAACTCTGGGAATTTAGTTAATTTTACACAATAATCAACAAAAAAAAGTTGCTTGACTGGTCTTACAGAGAATTGACTTTTGCTCTGATGACTAAGAAAAATTTCAAGGACCACTTGAGTAACAGAACTGAAATTCTTCATATTAAGAGCAATACTTCTGTGAAGAATGTTTTCCTTCCTTAAGTTAACAGTAACAACATGAGCCCAGGGACAGCTCTGATGTTGGTGTTGTCCTTATTAAGATCATATTGTTAATCAAAGACCTTTTTCAAAGCATTATGAAAAAAAGCTCTGTTTTTTATTTGTTAGTTTGTTTTTAGTTATCTAGACAGTATTTGTAGCTTTAATGCTTGCACAGATGACTTTATCCCTCAAGGAAGTGTAACTTAAAGGCAAGATACTCGGAAGATCCCTGGTACTACAAGATCTTATAAAATTGACAGAAAGAGGATATTATTTTGATGCCTGGCCCATCCGTGTTTTTCTTAGCAAACAGAGCATTAGTTTATTTTTTCTGAAAACATTTACTGAGTACCTGTTAGTTGCCAAACACTGCATTACAAGCTGAGGCTGTGCATAAAAATAAGATATGCCCTCACCCTCAATAAGTCATATGTCCCGCCTCTGTTATAAAGAAACACCATCCATAAAACGTTGTGCCTTTGCATTACAGCTTGTTTCCAGTGGTTGGGTTGAAATGCTAATTATTTTCATTTTGTCCACTGGAAATCTGCAGGCTATATTCTCATGAGCATCACCTATGTGCCTCACTGAACATTAAATGGTAAAAAAGGATCACCAACAGCAAGAGCCTGGTGTCTGTTTCCCAGAACTAACTTGATATGCATTATAACCCCTGTCTTGAGAAGTGAGTGTGGGCCCAGAGTGCATCATAGCAGCATATCCACGCAGCTGTTTGTAAGGTAAGCTGGCTCTGGAAAACCACAAGGAGGGAGGGTTGAGGGCACAGTCAAGTGATGCAATGGAGCCTAGACACTAAGAATGTGGCATTAACAGGGACTCCTGGGAATCAGCAACAGCAGAGGAGCTGGTCTGGGAGATAGCTGGAAAGCATGCAAAACTCTACTGGAATGAAGTACATCAAGTACATCAAAATCAGAGAGTAGCAACACACAGGAAGCCAAAGAATTAATTCCTGGATGCAGAGGTTGTTGTACGTTGTTCCATTCGTACACATATATAACAATCACCATCAGGACGCCGTCTCTAAGTACAATGGACAACAAGAATCACATATTTCAATGTTATACATATAATAAAAATATATCAGATGTGGATATAAAATATATATTATATGTGAAAGTATATATATGCATATATACATATACACTAAAATACATAAAATACATATTATAATGGAAGTATATATACACACATATGTATATATAAGTGTACATATGTGCATGTAAGTAGGTGTGTGTATATATACTTTTAGGTGTGGAAATATAGACATACTTACCTATCTGAAGTCGAATAAACAGTTTGTATGTATTTTCCAGAGATATTCTGATATCCATCCTTCAGTGATTTTCTAGAAACAAACATATACGGATGTGTGAGAATTGGACTATTTCCCTAGTCTTGTTGTACACACCCGTATGCAGGTGACAAAGCACACACGGCTCCTCATGCAGCCTTATTATTCTTCTCTGTGATGTTACAAACATCATGTACTAACGTCTTTTTTTTTTTTTAATATAGAGATGAGCTAATACACAAGCCACCTCCAAGGTGACATAAGTTGACATATCTACTGAAGTAAATAGAGAATAGGGCGAGGAGCACAGGAACAAGTATGAACAGGAAGAGAAGTGACCATTTCTCATGAAATTTATACTTGCCCCTCCCTCATTCATTTACTAAAAGAAAGCCACATGTAATCTAACAGAGAAAAGGAAATGCACAAAGCATAAGCCAGTGTAAGCACATACAAAAATCACCATTCAGGTAGAGAAGCAGAGACTCTTGAACTTTTAGAGAAAGCTGTAGAAATGTTTATTTTTATTTGAAAACATTCAAGAAAAAATAGTCCAGAATGAAAGCAAAAAAAAAAAAAAAAAAGTAATTTTAAGTCCTCTTTGTTCCATTTCTCAGACTGCTCCAGTTTGTAAATGTCAGTCTTTCCCAGAGACAAATGAAATCTGCAATGCACTCACCAGCTAGCAGCTCATAATTGCTTCCCAAGACTTATGCTACCTGGGAATATATTAAGGCTGGAAGCAATACATTCCTATTATTTCATACAGTGAGTGGTAATTCCACAACCTTCACCTGGGATTTTTAAATAGGAAATCTCTCTCTCCCTCCAAACTACCCACAGGCAGACTGTTGTCAGAATCTATTTGGAATATGTAACCCATAATGCTAAGTAAGAGTATGTACACATTTGTGCAGGATAAATATATTATTACTCCCATTTTATTGATGAGGAAACTGAGATGTGACCAAATTAAGTTGCTTTTGCCAAGACCACATGGTTAGCAAATGACATAGATTCAATCCCAGATCTGATGCCAGGATCTCTACGCTATGCTGCAACATCAGCATATAGTTCAGGGAGAATTAGATTCAGCAGAAAAATCAAACCTGAAGCTGAATTTTACAAGGAAAATGATGTGCGGTTTTGAGAAACCTTTTTTTGGAAAATTGTCCACCTTCTGACATATAATGATGTCCCTAGAGTCCTTTCAGGGACCCCTCTCCAGAGATGTTCTCTCTTCTTTGAAACGGGCTCTGATGGACACATATGTCACATAGATCACATTTGCATTCCCCATCAGTATATTACCCCACAGTTAGGCTAATTCTTGTTTTTGCACTCCCTGAAATGGAATGGATTGTTTGACATTTTCCTCAACACCCATCACTCCAAGCAGCAGATTTCTGGGGATATCAATTCTCTGTAATTTGGGACAGAGCGTATCTACTAAAGGTAATACCCCTTATTTCAGAATAAAGGCAAACAATAACAGAACCAGAGTAGTATATAGAACTATTTAAGTGGGACTTGAAGTCAGTAAAGGAGTATTTGTGTAATTTTGTGTATTTTTGTATTGTGTAATTTTATAAAGCTTGTTATAAACATACAGTTACATACGGTTATGTGAGAACTGACAAATGGTTATCCTATTATGTATACACTTGTTACATTCAAGTATTCGGTTCATCCAATCACTGTATATGATTATTTGCCAACTACTTGATATTGGAAACATTATAAAGAATTATATACCTAGAACTTAATATACTCCTAAATGGTCTATTTGAAAAAAACCAAGCTTACACCAAAATAATAGCATCTCTTCTTACATACAGATTATTTCAAAATTACAATAAATGTAGCAAAATATTTTAAATAAATTTCCAATACCTGTTCTCCACATACGTCCTTGTATACACAAAGGTATCCTTCGGTCCTGCATGCCTGGTTTCAGCATTGAAGCTGAAATTCAAACCATTTACTTAATGTTTAAAATTTAGTTACAAGGCTAATGAAAACAATAAGGCTATTATCCAATTCAATGCAAACAAATAGTGCTTATATATTCCTTTTAAATTATAACTTTTGAAATGTAATTGTTAAAGGGGTGTTAAACCACTTCTGCAAAATGTCTTCATATCTCCTATTCTGTTCTTAGCTTCCACTGTCTTGGCCTACTTCCAGAATGCTGCTATGAAAATTGGTCACTCAGAATATCTGCTGTAGAGCATGAAGATTATTTGGAATATTTGTATAATACATTTTACTGTTTGTTTCCCTGGTGTCTCATTCATATTTCCAAACCATAACTTTCCCCATAAATCTCAAAAAGTTGACCTTAATGAACTAACATGATAACATGTAATTTAATGAAACCTTTACATCTACCTAAAGAATATCAACACCAATGTCACAAACAGGCTCGTAAAAAAAAAAAAAGTAAAATTTTCAGGGAAAAATCACATTTACACTTTCCTATGCAGGTATCAAAACTTCCCAGTGACTAAGTTGTTAATGCCTTTGTGTGAAGCGGTTTACATATAGTCACGGATAAAATTAGAAATTTCAAAGGGGGGGTCAGATTTTATATAAGATGATTTTTAAAAACAGAAGGAGAATAGTCCTGTCATTTGTTTTATAATTGGCTGCAGTACCTGAGATTTCTCCTGGCTTCATACAAATGGGCAGGAGTTCTAGTGAGCTGGGTGTTTAAAGCATCCGTGGATCCATCGACTTGGCCATCTAGCCTGGGAAAGCAAACACAAATATTTGGCATTTCTAAGGCCACTTAGAAGTTTTTTGTTTTATTAAAATTCTGTTCAATTGACATTCTTTACATACATGAACCTCTTTATGTTTGTCTTGTTTCTGTGCAGATACAGAAATAGAATACATACACTGTTTCACTCTCCACAGCGACCACGGTCTTACCTTTAAGAATAATCTACAGGCATGTGTCATATTATCTACAGCAGGGCCACTGTAGAAAGCTTCTCATGTATAATATATAATAATAATATATAATGTAGAATATATCTTGAGAGTTTATCAATTTGATGAAAATTATCCAGGGGTTGCTTTTGGAAATTACAGTTTCCATCTTGTTTTTAATGGAAAGGAATATTTTGAAGATTACAGAATCCTGACCTAGATTTCTGCTAACTAAAAAAAATATCACTACGCTTAGAAAAGTGTAGGCATATTTTCTTTTTCCTCTGGAACAAAGGAAAATTTTAACGCAGGAATTGTAAAAATTTTAGCCACATTTCTCCCTCCAGGTTAGTAAACTCTGATATAGAAGAGATGTGAAAACCAAGAGGACAGTTTAGATCTTAATCAAGCCTTATCATTTTTAAACACGCTGTTCCTTCCATTCCCTGATAGCTCTCAAAGAAGAGGAAAACATTTGTTCACATATTATCTCTGGCATACAGAAAATCATCTTCTAGTTTCACAAAACATACAGCCACATTAAAATGATACTAAGTAATGAGAAAGTAGAAATAACATCAGATTTTCTAACGTGATTATTAGAATATGTCATTCCAGGAATTATAAACCTAGCTAGCAGTTTTTGGAAATATTCAAATCATATCATATACAATACAAAAACCCAATTTTAACAGATTAACAGCTTCAAAGAACAAGGGTTGTCAGTGAGTCTGAAATGTGCTTGCACCATCCTCAGCAGCATAAAATCAAGTATCACCAGTTAGCAAAATTGGCAAATAGAAAAAGGAAATAATTCTCAAATAGTACTGTTATGGACTGAATTGTCTCCCCCCAAAATTCATATGTTGAAACCCTAACCCTCAATGTGATTTGCAGACAGAGCCTATAAGAAGGTGAAAAAGGTTAAATGAGGTCATGGGTGGGGCCATAGGACTTGTGTCCTTTTAAGAAGAGGAAGTGACACGAGAGATCTGCATGTGTTCGTGCAAATACAAAGGAGAGGCCATGCAAGGCCACAGTGAGAACATGGCCATCTGCAAGCCAAGGAGAAAGGCCCCAGGAGAAGCCAAACCTGCCAACACCTTGATCTTGGACTGGCAGCCTCCAGAGTTGTGAGAAAATAAGTTTCTGTTGTTTAAGCCACTCGGTCTGTGGTATTTTGCTATGGCAGCCCAGACGGAGTGATAATACGAGTAGCATTTCCTAGTTGTGTTTATAATGAGATTAATGACTATGCCTTCATGAAGATTTAACTTGTATAATTGTGAATAAAAACCAAATATTAGTAAACAAATTTGAAATGTGGAACAATAAACTCTTTGATGGATTTTACTCCACCAGTAGGTTTGGAAGATGACAGATTAAAAAAATATAGATCTTTTAGGGCGCCTGGGTGGCTCAGTTGGTTAAGCGACTGCCTTCGGCTCAGGTCATGATCCTGGAGTCCCTGGATCGAGTCCCGCATTGGGCTCCCTGCTCAGCAGGGAGTTGTCTTCGCCCTCTGACTCTCCCCCCTCTCATGTGCTCTCTCTCATCCGCTCTCAAATAAATAAATAAAATCTTAAAAGAATATATATATATATAGATCTTTTAGACCTTTTATTTTGGAGTAATTTTAAATATATGGAAAAATTGCAAAGACAGTGTGGACAAGCCGTGTCTACCCTTCACCCAGCCTCTCCTAATACTGATATCATACATAACCATGGTACATTTGTCAAAACTAAAGAATCAACGTTGGTACAATACTGTTAACTAAACTACAGACTTCATTTGTATTTCATCAGTTTTTCCACTGATGTCCTTTCTCAGTTCCAGAATCAGAACCAGGGTGTATCTTCCACAAAATCATCATGTCTCTTTAGTTTCCTAGGGTCTGTGATCATTGCCAAGTCTTTCTTTTCTCTTCATGAGATGGTGATAATGTTACACAGGAAATTCTATCTTGATGCCAACAAGTGATCTATTTTTTATTATTATTTAGAACCATAGAAATAGTTAGAAAATACTTTGGCAGTGAAATCACCTGTAGTGCTTTTTATAATGCTACAGGGTCCCACATCCAGATATTCTGGTTTAATTAGTTTGAATTACAGCTTGGGCACTGGGCTTCTTTTAAGCCTCTCCAGTGAGTCTCACGTGGAATTTAAGGTTAAGAACCATCACCTTAGAGGTTGGGCAGTCCAACATCTTACCCAAAAGAGCACTGGTTCTTAAAGTATGATCCCTGGGTCAGCAGGTGGTTGTGATGTACAGTAAAGTTTGGGAACTGGTGCAATCAAAGAACTCTGCCCAAGCATTCCTCTCAAATGCCTTAAATAATCCTCATAAAGGAGAACTCTAACTCACAATGTTTGTTGTTTAACAGTTTTATAGTTAAGAAGTTATTCTTCATTGAAACAAATTGTTAAATTACAACTTCCAATTAATGGTCATGGTTTTGTTTCTTAATTAAATAACAACTCTACAAAATATAAACTCAAACACTGTATATAGGACCTTACAGAATTCCTAATGGAATTACTCTTCAGAAAATGTTTCCTGCAGTAGAAATTCACCTTGAAAATTTACCTATCTGCAACCCTCATACATTGCCAAAGTATAAAATGGTACAGCTGATCTGACAGTCTGGTGGTTCCTTAGATGGTTAAACGTAGAGTTACTACACAATCCAGGAATTCTACTCCTAGGTATACCTAGGTATACTAGGTATATACCCAATGAAAACATATCCCAAATAAAAAGTTATATATACAGCATTGTTCACAATAGTTAAATACAATCCAAAAGTCAAAAACAATTCAAACGCCCATCAATTAATGAATGAACAAAATGCTGTTTAGCCATACAATGGAAAAAATACTCTTTGGGGATAAAAAGAAATAAAATACTGATACATGCTATAATATGGATGAATCTTGAAAACCTTACACGAAGTGAAAGAAGCCAGTCATAAAGGACCACATATTGTATGATTCCATTTATATGAAGTGTTCAGTATAGGCAATTCATAGAGACAGAAAGTAGATTAGCAGTCGCCTAGGACGAGGGGTTGGGGAGAAAATGTTGTGTGACTGCTAATGGTATGGGGTTCCTTTTTGAGGTGATAAATATGTTCTAAAACGGATTGTGGTGATGGTTGCACAACCACATGAATATACTGATTAGGAACATATATTTACTTGGATATCCAATTACTATACAAAGTGAATGTGTTCATAAAGTGAATCAAGTTTCAGTTTAGCAGATTGGTCCAGGACTCTTACTTGGATTTCCATCATCTTACTAACCTAGCCTTAGCAGCCTGACATTAAAAACCATAAAACAATTTCAACTGATAAATATCTATACCCCTGCAAACTTTATAAATCTCTTTTGCAAAAAGAATAAAATCTTATTAAGAGCCCATATTTTGTATCATATGTGTTAGGGTTTACTTCTATAAAATGTCAAGGTCTTAAGCTCTTATACAAATTTCAAATTTTAAGTATTTTTTTAAAAAGTACTCTACTGTTGGGGCACCTGGGTGGCTCAGTCGTTAAGCGTCTGCCTTCCGCTCGGGTCGTGATCCCAGGGTCCTGGGATCGAGCCCTGCATTGGGCTCCCTGCTCAGCGGGAAGCCTGCTTCTCCCTCTCCCACTCCCCCTGCTTGTGTTCTCTCTCTCGCTGTGTCTCTCTCTGTCGATTAAATAAATAAAATCTTAAAAAAAAAAAAAAGTACTCTACTGTAAAAAAATAAGAGAGGATTTGCTGCCAGAACACATAGGTTCATCCCACCTCTCTAACTAACCTTCCGCACTTGGTCAAGTCTTACTCTCTGTGAATTTTCTCTATTTTCTTTCTGTTCCAGATTTACCCATTGACCCATTTTGACAGTCCTTTTTGCAGCCAGAATCCATGGGCACAAAAGTTTGGCCCAGAGATTTCTTCTTTCCACTCTTTTCCAGGTGAAAATTTTTATTATGATTGCTGTGTCAGTGCTAGGGTGGTGGTGACATTTTCCATTTAATTTTTAGATAGCAGAACCATGGGAAATCGTACATCTACAGGATTGTGATAGAACTGAAGGAGAATAAACACCACCTGAAAACAGAACTCAGGGATCAACAAACGGTCTTGCAGTGGTGGTAGTTAAGGCCTCGAGATGTAGTCACCGAATGTGCTGATTCCTGTCTCCCTGGGGAGAGAGTGGGTGTGTTTGAGCATGTTTCTGTCATCGTTGGATTATGTCAGGCAGGAGACACAGATGAAATTGCAGGAAGGGGAAGGAGACTGTGTGAACCTTATTGTCAACCATGGTGTTTTCCATCTACACACCATCTTCAATGCAGATGGCCACACCCACACTGCCTTGCTTTAGAAAGCCAGACAGACCACGGAAAGCTAGAGTAAACTCCAGGTATGAGGAGGCAGAAACTGGGAGGCAGCAAAGAATCTTGGTTATCAAAGAGATATAGAGAATAAGGAGGCCAACAGGCAGAAGGAAGAGTGGGAGGAAAATGGGGAGGAGCCAAAATTCAGGGAGTAGCTGAGTTGTAGTAATGACAAAGAACCAGGGTTAATGTTCACGGATTCCTGATGGAATGTTCTCTGGCCGAGAAGGAACAACCTTCCAGTTCAGGCCTCTATGAGGCCTGGCCAGGCTACCATTCCTGCTCTTGAATTTCCATAAAATTTCATTTCTTCATTAATCCTTCCAATAAAACCCATTTCATGAAAAAGCCATACTGAAATTGGAACATCTGTCAAGTCATATTAAATGAGAAGTTCCTTAATCATACATGATCATTGACTTGAAAATTTTTTTACCTTGATCACTTCCAAATAATACTTGAATTATCTGGAAGACTGATTAACTGTAAGCCCGGTCCTATTCCCAAAGTAGTGGATGTTTTTCTAAGATAAACAGATCCTATTGAAAATTTACCCTCCCTCATTTTATCAAAGGCTTTTTGTGATACAAGAAGAAAAGGCAGAAGATGATTTAAGGAATTAAGGGAACAGAAAGAAACTACCCATTAGATGCAAATCTTTTGTAGACATTATGGGGAAGAAGTGACCCAGATCTCTTCCTGCTTTTCCACTCTCCACACACAATGTTGACAATATCATTTCTTTGCATAAAAAAAATTAATAGAAAAGACAACTGCACCTTACGAAGGTAAAAAATAGGAACCTATTGGTTTGGGGTCTCCCATATGTGGGGAGGGGGGATTGCAAAACATGCTTTCTCAAACAGTCTGTAACAACAATGAAGTATAGCTTCTATAAGCTATACTTTCCTTGTAAACAAACAAACAAACAAAGAACAAAGTACAACAGTTTAATGCTATTATACTCTGTGGTGTAAAGAAATTTCAAAACTAGGTCCTGTCTTATAGCTGTGATGAATCCGTGCATTCTTTTAGAACTAGGTATCCAAGGAAGAAAGTCCCAGAGTACTTTCTGCACCACTGAAGAACTACCAAGCAACAATAAGTAAAAATAAATTTTCACAGCCCAAGTGCAGAGCTTTGAATTTCCATGATGCCTTTTACACGAAGCAATTGAATAGAAGCCCCTTTGTCCAAAATTCCAATAGAATTTGAATTTTGTTCACTTTTTTCCATATCAGCTATTAAGTACCCTGTATATTGATTTTTGTATTTCAGTAGTATTTAAATCTATACCATAATACAATTCAACTCCTCAGCAAATCTTCTAAGGTTATATAATTTATGTAGGCTTATATGGGATTGATAACAAAAAAGTAAATTATAATAAGTCTTACCTTCCATTTTTGTTTTTAGGCACATTAGAATTTACTTCAATTACATTTTTCAGGTCTTGGTCTCTATAGGAGAAAAATACATATAATTAATATGTATAATATAAATATGTATAAATATAATATATATATTATACGGGACATTGGAAATCTGACATTGAGCTAATTGACCTATACAACTCAAATATAAGAGTGTGGATTATGTGTGAGAGAGAAAGAACTAATGTTTTATAAGTTTTAAGAAATCTGAAAATAAACAACCGATTTATAGTCACATTCAGTTAACATTTAATGATTACTAACTTTGTGTCACAAAGTACTAACTATGTATTTTCACATGGATGATTTCATTCAGATCTCACAAAATCCTGTAGGACAGCATCTAGGGCTCAGGAAGGCTAAGTGAATTTTCCAAGGTCAATTAACTAATTTGTTAAAGAGTCAAGATTTGAGGCCAAGCCACCTGCCCATCTGAAATCAATTCTTGGATATTTAATTAGAGACTTCATTCCAGCTTTGTAGATCACAGAAACACAAAACCCAAAATTTGAGTAAACAATTCATAATGTGGAGGATAAACGGGACAATTAGATTCTTGAATAGAGTTGCAGTAATGATTAGATACACTTTCATGATATACAATATCCCCTGGTATGTTATTCATACATTAGTTATTTATATATTTGGTTATAACACTGGTGGTTCTTGATTTTTTTTCCCCGTGAGTTTAGAAAAGCCTTTGTCATGAACCCGATTAATTGGGAGCCTTGTTTAGGAGTCAAAACAATGAAGTCATCTCTTTCCCTATTTCCTTGTTAATCAACCTTCCTAATCTTCCTTTTGTAAACTAGACTAATCATATTTAATTTCATAAGGTTGCGGTGAGGATGAATGAGCTAATGTAAATAAAATTCATGGCACAATGCCCCCAGTCATGCGTGAACTGAATAAGCGTAAGTAAATGATAATTACTAGAAGTTCAGTGACACAGCAGTAGGCACTATTGATTCCAATATTTTGATGGACTACCTTTTCATTTTTATTTCTGCTCTAATTTTTTTCACCTTGGGAATTAGCTCTAGTTTTCATAAATCTCCCTTCTCGTGATTGTGAATAGTAGATTTAAATAAGGTTCTTATACATGGCATCAGAGTATGGACTCTTACTTATGAAATTAATATTGATAAGGATGAAAAATACTATAAAAAAGTTCTTCTAGTATAACAAGGCTTAGTACTCTTTTTATATAACATCCAAACCATCAATAATTGGTAAATCTGCAAAATAGGCAGCATTCCATAGCCACACTTAAACTTCACATTTAAAAAACTAGCTGCATAATTTTAAAAATGTAGAAATTAGATCATTTTTTTAATGTGAGTTATAGTCAGGAAAATATGCTAATTAATACATGTCAAAAGCACAAGATTTCAGAAGTAGCTTGGAAGTGTAGCAATCATTTGATCCTGTAGGCTGGATGATGTAAAATTCAGAACTGACTCCCTCAACGACATAAATGCTAGAACTATGTAAGGAAACCTCCCAGATCACATCGTTCAAATTTAGAAATGGAGACAGAAGGCTTTTGCTGAACCCCTGAAGGTCCTCCGCTAATTATTAGAGCTAGCTTCTTGGCTGCAGGGGCCACTGTACTATTTTAATAACCTGGCATTAAGTGATCCTCCTTTTATCGTTTTAAAATAATACTTCACTAAATACTCGGGGATAATGAAATAAAATGAAGAGATGTATCGTGATGTTACATAATCCAGTTTCCTAGGATGGTTGGCAGTAGTAAATAGTGAGAGATCACCAGAACTGTGAATCTTGGGGGAATTAAAATTTTGTCCCAGCAAATGATTCTCCTTCCACTGTTAACCTAGGATGAACTGAGTGCCATTATTTAAGGACACTGGTGGTTTTCACTACAACTTGAGAGTAGAGTCTCATTACCATGACCTTACGTGACCTTGTACACAGAAGCTGCTCCAAACATATTTGGGAAATTAAGTTTAAGTTCTCTTTTTCTACATCTCCAGGGGAAATCTTTAACTACCTTAGCTAGCTCTGGGAAAAGATATTAAAGGGGAAGACATCAGACCCTGAACCCTTAAGGCAGTCAGCTCTACCCACATCTAGGGACACAGTGTACATCATGACCGTGTAGAAAAAGATCAGTAAAGGCAGTGATGGATATTTCATCTCCCTTGGTGTCAGTCACCCAGAGCCTGCCTTACTTCACCCCTGAATTACATATATTTCTTTTTTCATACAGCTCTCAACTCTGGCTTTGTTTCCTTGTTCTGGGATGTTGTTACGGGTCAAATGGCGTTCCCCCACCAAATTCATATGTTGAAGTCCTAATGCCAGTATGGTCAGAATGAGACCTGATTTAGAGACAGGGTCTTCACACAGGTTATCAAGTTCAAATGTGGTCATTGGGGTGGGCCCTACTCCAGTATGACTGGTATCTTTACAAGAAGAGGAAATTTGGATGAAGACACACACAGATGTAAGACAATGTGAAGATACAGGGTGAAGGCAACCCTCTACAAGCCAAGGAGAGAAACCTTGGAATAGATTCTTCTTTCTCTATCTTCAGAAGGACCCAACCTTACAGATGTCTTATTCTTGGACTTCCAGCCTCTAGCACTGTGAGAAAATAAATTTCTATTTTAAGCCATTCAGTCTGTGGTACGTGTTATGACAGCCCTAGAAAACTAATAGAGATCTGCTTCTGCCCTCACAGCGCAATTACATTTAGTTTGTGAGTCTGGTCCTGCACCGCCTCGCTTCTGCTGGTACCTTCCATTCGATCCTGGCTGCTGCACATACTGGATCTTTGCATGTCCTCCCACCCTTGCCTCGGGACCCAAGCCTTTTTGGATCCCAGCTATCATGAGGGAGAACAGGAATGAGTTTTGGCCTGAGGAAGAAGAAGAAGCCCAAATCTAACAAATCCAGTAATTACAAGTAGGTAACTCAAAGTTGGAACCTATGCCATACATGCCTTCAAAGGAACATACCCCCAACATGATAGAACCATGAATCATCGGCTAAGCCGTATTATTAGTGGTTTTTTAGAATTTTTGGTGTTTTAATTAAACAGCAGCGCATATCAAGTTTGATAGAGTGGATTATGAGATTTTATTCTGAATAATCTATACTAATATTTAAAGCAAAATGAAAAGTTCCAGATTATGAAGAGCACAACGTGTGTATTTGCTTTGGTTGTTCACCCTGATTGATGTCATCAGCTAGATCTGAAGATCCAATAAAAGAAGTTCAGATTGCCCATAAACTTCCCAAGTTGAAGGATATAAAAATAAATTATGAGCACATCTATTACATCATGTCTTCTACACTGTGGCGGAAAATGAAACACCTTGAGCCAAAGTGTGACACGTAGATTTTTCTAGAAGACCAGCTCCATGCAGCAGGGTGGAGCAAAGGCTTGATTCCAAACCCTTTCCATGGCAGTTGCAGTGGAAGGAAGACTTGTGTACATTTATGAGTAGTTGGAATTAGCTCCAAGGAAAGTTCTCCGTGGACACAGTGAGAAATGCTAAAAAGAAATTTTAACCTTTGCGACCAAAAATGCTTTTTAAATGTAGATTTCAAAATTTGGGGAAGGGGGGAATGAGTCATCTGTTATGTAGAGTCATAGCACAACTTTTGAATATAAGCTATTTATCCAATAAGCCAATAAATGTAATTTAAGCCAATAAATATACAATATAAGCCAATAAATGTAATTTATTTTCCACTGTCCCATTAAGGAATATAACACTCCCTTACAGAGCAGATTAAGAAAAAAAATAGGTATTACTATGTCTGCTATTATGTAACTTTTCTCAAGGTAAGTGCTACATGAGAGAAAGTTAACAGGTCACTCACCATTGCTCTTCCTCTCTCATGAGGGTGTGGGAGGTATTTATTAAAAGCTGCAATATGTTTCTCTCTCTACAGCTTACTTAAATTGCTTTTGTAGAGTATCAAACACATTTGCAAAATTAAGAGCCTCCATATAAAAAGTTTACTATGGCACTTCTTTTGTGCCAAGAACTAAATCTTAGGCATTAAGCTTTAGTTCAAAAGGAATATTTGGCTCTCTGAAAGTACAGAATACAGTGAGATAACTGGTATAATTCTTCAGCTCTGTTGACATGGCAAAATGGGCCCAGATTTGTATATCTTTATAGTTCTTTTCAATGAGAGAATCTTAAATATTTTCTATTAAACAAATTAACAGGTCCATAGAGAAATTGGACAATGTAGGTATTTTAAATATAAGATGTAACCAAGGATTTTAGTGGCTCTAATTCACCATGGTTGATTGAGATTCTGTCATGAGCAAGAGATAGTCATTGGCTTAAGCAAGTAGACCAGTCATAAAATATCAGATTTCTTCAATCTGGTTTCACTCCTGGGGGCTCAGAATGTTAGAGCTGGAAAGCAGTAAACTTTACTAGCTGGATGATCAAAGATCCTTGATTAGTTTGAGATTTTAGCCTTTGATTCACAAAGTATTTGTTAAGCACCTAATATGGGCCAGGCATTATGTTCTACACTGTAAATAAAGAAGTGAATAAGACAGACCCAATCCTTACCCTCAAAAATCTTACATCTGGGGAAAGATGATTAAATAATAATTCCCCCTATGAGACAAATGCTATGGGACAGGATCAGAGAGCTTGAGAATGTCTAGAAGAAGCACCTGATGCAGATGTGGTGGGTCCAGGGGACCTCCTAGAGCTAAGTAAGAGACAGCTATTTTGAGACCTAAGGGATAAGTAGAAATTATCAATGCAATACAGATGAAAGATGGGTGGGTTTGCTTGTGGGGGGAGCATCATGGGAGGTGGGAGAGGAAGCCTGTGGAGGCAGAATAAGGTAGGCTTTGGAAACCATGTTAAGGAGTATGGTCATTGTCCAATGGCAATGGAAAGCCACAGGAAGATTTGTTCAGAATGACATGATCAGATTTCTGTTTGAGGAAGGTCACTCTATACTGTGGCTGATGGACTGAAGAACAGGAGGCAAGACTGGCAGCAGAGGGACCAATTAGAAGACGGAATTATAGGGGCTCCTGGGTGGTTCAGTAGTTAAGAGTCTGCCTTCTGCTTGGGTCATGATCCCAGGATGCTGGGATCAAGCCCCGCATCCGGGCTCCCTGCTCCGCGGGAAGCCTGCTTCTCCCTCTCCCACTCCCCCTGCTTGTGTTCCCTCTCTCACTATGTCTCTTTCTGTCAAATAAATAAATAAAATCTTAAAAAAAAAAAAAGAAGACAATTATAATCCAGTTATGGTAGTATCGGGGAAGATGAAATGTCTTAGTTCCTGAGATAGAAGCCTCCAAAGTGACCTACTGATTATGTGGGAAATGAAGCACGGGAAAGAGTCAAGGTTACCCCTCCCCCCAGCTTTCTTTCCTGAGTAGAAATATGAGCAATCTGCATCAGGAAGATAGGAAGAACCACTTGTCTTGTTGCAATACTAGAACTTGGAGGTGTATGTCTTAGCCAATAGGAAGTCCTTAAAATTATGGAAGTATAATAATGTAAATAGTTCAGAATATTTTTTCTACTTCAGATGAAGGATGCCTTTTCTAACTGTACAGGTCTAAGTGGCACGAGCTATTTTTCAATCTTCAATTGGGAGCAGCAGTTTATGGGCTGCAGATAATTGAACGTCTTCCTTTTATGTTGGTTCGTGAAAATGTGAAACTGTCACTGCTAAAAGCCATGCAGTTTCTCCCTGAATAAATGAAAATTCTGTGCACATCTGCATTTGTTCAGGTTGTTGTGTTCCTAGAAGGAGTTCAGGGACACCTGCTTACATTCTGATCGATGACCAAAGTTTATTCTGCCTCTAACTGTGAATTAAATATACAGCTGCTAGAAATGTCAGCAAAGTCACATAAAAAGGATTCTGATTCACTGCTGTTCTACTATTAAATAATCAGTGCTCCTGTCACATTGAATTGAATGTAAAACAGCCTGTGGCTATTATTCCTCTGGGAAATCCTTTAAAATGCCCCCTCTTTATCCCCCATTAAAATCAAGTGGGCAGGGTAGATACATTATATTACAGGTGGCTGAACCAATTGAATGAAGTCACTTTTTTCAAATAAGCAGCTTTCCTGTTTGTTCTGCTCTAGTTCTTGAACAACCTGGCTGATTATCATTAAATCTGGTGTCACCCCTAAAGAACAATCAGACACTGCCTAGGTTTAGATTCATGGATCAAGCTGCTGTCTAAAAGCAACATGATGGACAATGTTTTTAAATTTCCTTTTTTTAGGAATCTCACCCATATAAGGAAAATGTATTCTTTCTATAGAAATTGTTTTAGAAGTTGCCAAAATACAAACTACCTTTTTATAAAATTAGCGTCTTCTAATAAACAAAAGGCAGAAAAGTTGCCATCCTCTGTCAACAAAGCACATTTGCCAGAAAGAAGGAGGGAAGGAAGGGAAAGTGAGAAAAAGGGGAAAGTGTGAGTGTGCATGCTCACATGCGTGTGTGTGTGTGTGTGTGTGTGTGAGAAAGAGAGAGACAGACAGACAGAAGCGCATCTTGTGGAATCAGCCACGGAGGGAAGAGTTGGCCACAGTAACCACTGTTAGTGATTCCACATGTGGTTCGTAAACCTAACCCTTCCTACATGGTAGGGGAACTCCTCATACTGCTACTAATGAAAAGAAAAATCTGTCCCCACCAAAACCACTATGAAGAAATGGTTTTACTTAACAAAGATATTTCCATACAATTCTCAGTGGCAGGGTCGACAGCAAAAGTGTGTTGTCATTTCAGCTATTAGGAAATCTCTAGGAAACAACTACTTTTCTCCCGTCCCTGTCACTTTAGTGATAATTTTCTAGAATAAATGTTTCTAATTGTAGTCCTTTGGCTGCAGGGTGGGAGGGGGCCTTAGAAGGGAAGAGACTGTGGGGAGTATGAAGGGTGGGAAGAAGAGGGGAGTCTGAACTGTTTTAGCCACAGATTTTTTGTTTTTCTTCTATTTAGTGACATCAGAAGGGCTTCAGTTTAGATCTGGGATGGGTTTTCTTTCTTAATAAGGTCACTGAATGTCTTTGAGCTATAGTTTCCTCTTCTATAAGACAGGGTGTGTGAATATATTTCGCATGGGGTAGCTGTAAGGATTAAATGTATCGAAATTGCCAGTCACACCAGAGGTGTTGATAAATGCTATTCTCAGTAGGACGGCTCTTCAAGCACCTTTGTGCCCGCCTGCTCCAAAGACCCCAGCAGCACAGTGATAAAAACATACAAACAGAAACAGCAAAATCATGCACTAATGTAGACAACAAACTAGGAGATATAAGAGCTGGGCCAATGAGTGTACTACACGGTCTTCTTTCTCCTAGCGGGTCCGTAGCACTTCTCCATATGTTAACTTGCTTTCTTGATCTTAGAATATTGAGACTATGGTTCTCAGCTCTATGTTTATCATGATAACATTGCAGGTCAACAGGACAATTTGAATTGCTAATATAATGCACTCTGGTGCATTATCTATTATTACCTTATTGTTTATTAATAAAGCCCTTTAGGCAAAAGATATCACATAAAGATAGTAAATCATAAGATATTTGCAGAACTCAAAATGGAAGTTCAGGGGTAAAATCAGCTGTAATATTTTGTGAGCCCACACAAGCTGTGGATCTGTGATTTTGAGGACCCTAAATATCCTCTTTGCTGCTCTTATAGTCATCTATATAAGCCACCAGTTTGGTTCAATTTCTTGAGATACTTTTTCTTCTTATTTGATTGCACTCAGTTTTCATGTCAGCCCTAGCACTCCATTTGCTACAGACAATGAACACTAAGTTGTCTTACTGCAAATAAAAAGTACAGAACTGAGTCAATAGTGCTTTGGTTGTTGATTCCAGAAGAATGCAACATGTTTCCTTGCTGACAGGAGACCCATGAGTTATACTTGCGTCTTCATTTGAACACTAAAGAAGAAGAAAAGGCTTCTTTGAGAGAGAAGGAAACAAAATTCCTAACTAGAACCTTGAGACCACATCAAGATAGTTAGGCAAAGTCATTTACCGCTCAGGGTTTCTGAGAGCTGAAGATTTCACTTTAACGAGATTGTCCAAGCCTTCACTGTTCGAAAGAGAAAAAAAAAAAGTTCAGATTAGGGATAGGTTTTTGGTTGGGCTAGGTCAATAAAGCGACATTATAAATCCACTCCACCCAGGGGCAACAGGCAGATGAAAACATGAAATGACTGCTTTTATCTGATTACCCCTGACTGCTTCTGGTCACTGCAGGATTCACTTTGATGAGGTTATCCAGATCCTGGTTTCTTTAAATAGAAAAATAAAAGGAGAGCAGGTTAATGATAAAGTTCTTTTGGCAGGAGGATTCAGGTTACAAATCTGCTTGAAATAATAATAAAACAAAACGTTCTCCTTGACCAAAGCACAAAAATGAATATAGTTCTATTACCTCTGGTTGTTGGTGAGAGTTTCAGGATTCACTCTGATGAGCTTATCAAGATCTTGATTTCTTTAAGTGAAAAAAAAAATTAGAAATTTGTTAATTTGTGTTAGAGATAATGCAGGTTCAAGTTGGTTGGAATTAGAAGAAAGGATTAGCTACCTTATCACTTAGTATGATACATACTGGTTGGGCACAGAACAGCCTTGAAATAAGTTTCCTAGCTTTAGGGGGGACAAATTTTGCTGGATTGGAAGAGAAGCTGCTCAGACTTAACATACTTCAAAGCCAGAGCACATCCATGGGGCCACACCGGCAGGCATTCACAGCAAACATCTGGTGATTAACAACTTTAAACTCTGCAGTGTTTTAACATTATGGACATACACTCTGATTTTCCTGTCCTTTTCCTTGTTATTTTTAAGATCATATTCACCAACTGAAGATATTTTTTTTAATAAGCTCTAAAATTGGAATTATACTTAGCCTAAGGCTTGGCATGGAGAATTCCAGCAATCCATTAAATTGGTGACTTTTCTTTCCTTTACAATAAATAAAAAGCTGAATTAAACGCAGCTGTTCATGGTCAAATGACTTACAGACTCTGAAGACTTCCTATTGGAAGCCCCACCAGTTTCTTTTCTCAGTCACAAACAGTATTTCTTCCCACATAGTTTGCTGCCATTCACTGCCTCAGTGTAATACCTTGTTTTAAGGGCTAGCAAGTGATGATTCTTCAAAGTGTTCCTTTAAACCCCTTTTTAATATTTATTTAGAGAAATAAGATAGTCTGTCATGGCAAGAAATTGCAGGACTGAGAACACCTGCTTTTCAGTACCATCTTGGACAACAACCTGCCTGTCTTCCCAACACCCCAACAGCAGTCCTTTTTCCTTATAGAAAAGTAAGAGACATTTTGCCTGTCAAAAAGATTGAAACAAGGTTAAGGACTGAAGGGGAGCCATTTAGAGCTTCATCACCAAAAAGTTCTAAGAAAAGGTCTGCATTTCCCTCCCCAGTCCTAATATTCCCATAGAATGTGCTTCCCAGCTTCTGGCTTCACTCAGTTCCTTCTTTCCATCATCATTCTCAGATTTTCATGGTAGACAGAAAGCCACTAATTGAATTTTCACTGTTTTGAATTATCTCCAATAATAGTATTCGCAATTAAAGATAATCAATTGATGTCTCCAATACCATTAAAGGAATGATTAACATATGACAGCTATCCAAAATATAATTTCCTTGCATGAACTGATTGCAAATCTGTTATAAAGCTCAACTGTGCCTAAAAGACAATAATCTCTAAAGTGAGGTTATTGTACACCTTAAACTAATGTAAGACTGTATGTTAACTACACTGGAATTAAAATAAAATTAAATAAAATTAAATTAAATTAAATTAAAGTGAGGTTAATTTTACATATTAGAGGAAAAATACAAAGAACAAAACTTTGTAGAGGAGATAATAAATTCAAAGGCCACAGTCTTTTAACGTATAAATTAATCACAATATTTCTTAGTGTAACTACATATAATATTTGTGTACCAGCATAATTAGAGTAAGCTGCACACACAACCATGAGAACTTGCATTTTTCACTGTTCTGATGAGCACAGAAAATCTGATTTATCCAATAGCCTAGAACAGTGATATTCAAATTACTGTTTCATAAAGCCCATTAAGAAATACATTTTGTATCACAGCCCAACACTCTCTTTCCAGACAGACAGACATACATAAGCAAACACAAATTTCATTAAATAATACCTTTACTACATAAGAACTCTCATATTTTCCATTCTAATTAATTTTATTTAATTGGGAAAAATACTGATTGCCACTCACTACATTAATTACAAGACCCTTTAACTGGTTTTGACCCACAGTTTGAGAAATCCTAGCTTAGAAAATATAGAAATGTATGCTATATTCTACCACTACTCCTAAAAAGACAGCACGGTGTTTTTAACAAAACAAGGATCTTGGTATCAGTTCTGAATTGCCTTGATTGATAGCATCATGCAATTTAGCTCAATGAATTGAAACTAACAAATTTATACACCTTTTTTTTAGGCCCTGGATCCCTGCACACACAGGAATCTTATATCTAAAGTTTATCCAGGAAAAATGTAACTCTTCCTACTCAAGTGACTGCTTTCATTTGTTTTTGCTTTAAGGATGTAGGAAAGAGATGTATTAGAATATTTAGCTATTATTACCTCCATGTAGTTGAAGAGCTATAAAGTTTTGCAGTCACTTGCACATTTGTGCCATTGTCATCTATGAAGTCATATTTCAAGGGACCCTGTGGAGCAGTAAAGGACACTTCCTGGCTGTTCCATGGCAAAAGCAACAATCCTAGCTTTATAAGCCTCCACTATTTCTGGAGGTACTTAACTTTCATTTACTTTTATTTTTTTAAAATTTTTTAATTGAAGTATAGTTGACATATTAGTTTCAGGTATACAACAGTGATTTGACAATTCTATACATTATGAAATGCTCACCACAATAAGTGTAGTTACCATCTGTCACCATACAAAGTAATAATCTTATTAAAAATGAACAGAGGACCTAAAAGGCTATTTTTCCAAAGACAACATCAAGATAACTTTCATTTAAGATCAAAGTTCGTGTGCTGTGATTTCAAGAACAGGAGTTGGTCTGGGAGTTAGAAAAAGTCACAGGAGACTATGAGATTTTTGCCCCTGGCCTCAACATTCTCATCTGTAAAATGAGGAGACTGGACCATTTCTAAGAATTTGCCTATCCCTAACATCTTCTACTCCTAGTAATCTATGAATATGAGCTTGATTGCCTGTCATGTTTATTAAATTAGCTAGTCAGTGTCTCTTTTTCTTTTTAAATGCAATGTCCTGACAATGCATTCTACATTCAGCAAGCAGAACATGAGTGTTCCAAAATGTAATATATTAAATTGACAACCTATTATTCTCTTGGAGTAACATCTCTGTGCCCCCAGTACATAATTAGCTTTAATCTATGATAAATGCCTGCTGTTAATAAGATTAAGTATGTCTACTGAATTCTCTTTTTGGCCTCCATGGCCTATAATTATACCTAATGTGCAACTAATGATACCTGGTTGTAAGCTTCAAACCTGGTAGGTGCTCAGTAATTATTCACTGCCTAGCAGATCAAGAACTACTACCAGTCTTCTACCAGTTTTCTCTGTGATCCTGGTCAGATCACTCAATCTTTGTGAGTCTGTTTCCTCTTCTGGAAATGGAATAGGTTTGACTGGAACAGTGGTTTTCAAAATTATTCAAACTAACAGGTCTGGGAGTTCTCTCAGGTTCCTTCCTTCATCTCTAAGATTTTGCACTTTTATATGTACCAACTAAATTCAATAAGGGAAATCATGAGAACATTCTTAAGAGATATGTGTGTGTGTGTGTGTGTGTAATCCCTTATATATAACATATATAATTCCCATATAAATGGGAGTAGTGTGTAACAGTATAAAAATCCTCATATAACCAGAGGCAAAGGTGAGTTTTATCATCTTACAGATACTACCTAAAGAAATAACAAATTTTAGGTCCCTAACTTTGCTGGGAGCATCAAACCATCTAAGAAACAATATACCTCATAAAATTTCCACTGACTACCAGAGAACACTCTTTAAAACTGAAGTACATGGTATTGCTGATGATGAATCTAATAAAGCATTCTAGGTCTTTTTAAAAACTATTATTAAAACATTTTCATCAGTTCCAGAGAAAAGGTATTAATATCAATACTACAAAGAAAAAACAAATATAGCACATAGACCAGCTATGTTCCTACGCCAGTCACTCCCTTCAGTTGCTTTACGTGAGGCCAAAAGAAGTGAAGTCACTACCAAATTATTTTCTCCAGCTATCGCTCCTTCTTGCTAGTAACAGATAGACATTTATTTCCGGGAACATATAAAAATTGTGACGGCTTTTCAAGACCTATATTCAGTTTGCCCACAGAATGACTGTAAACCATTTATGTTTGTATTGTACTTAAAGAGGAAAAAAACAAAACAGAACAAATAACATCTTTCTCTTTCCCAGCCATGTTTTTGACAGCTTTGGGGCGCACATTAAGTTCATCAAGACCTTCTTTCCTGCTAAAACGAAATAAAATAAAAGTTCAAATTCAGCTGGAAACCTGCAAATTTTATGGCTGACATTTTTTTCTTTTGACACATGTGGACCATACAATGGGATCCTAGATAAAAAGTAATGTTTACCAAGTTTCTACTTTACAAAGTTTTTAAAAATCCTCAAAACAACCTACTGAGGTAGATATTACCATCCTCCCCTTACAAATAAGAAATAGAGCTCCATGGAAGTTAAGCCTCTCTTTGGGGCCAGGTAGGAGGACATAACAGAGGATGAACCAGGTTCAGAACCATAGCACCTGGACCCTCACGCTCCTTCCCACTATCATCCTCCCTCTATGTTCATGGTAATTCCTTATATCTGCACCATGCTTTTTACCATCATCACAGTAATCCTGAGAGAGGTACCTTGGAGTTACTCTCTCATGCTTTTCTTGACCTTTGACCCCAGATATAATGAGTCTTAACTACTCAAGAAGACAGAAATATATTCAATGTCATGCGAAAATATTATGGTCAAGTATAAGAATGCTATGTCACCAATTTTCTCGAGTCATTTAAAAACTAATCCTTGGGGGGGCGCCTGGGTGGCTCAGATGGTTAGGCGTCTGCCTTCGGCTCGGGTCATGATCCCGGGGTCCTGGGATCGAGTCCCGCATCGGGCTCCCTGCTCCTTGGGAGCCTGCTTCTCCCTCTGCCTCTCTCTCTCTCTCTGTCTCTCATGAATAAATGAAAAAAAAAACAAAAAACAAAAAACAAAAAAACTAATCCTTGGGTTTGTGAAGGAGTAGAAAGTCAATATTCTTTGTTTTATTCAGTTTTATGAACTAACGATTAACTATAAATTTATAGTAATGACCTAGTTATGCTATGATTGTATCAAAATGGATTTCTCAAGTAGTAATTATACAGAATTCGCTTCAATATTGTAATGAAATAAATTGAAACAATGAAAAAAGAAGAGTCTAGCCAGCATCACTACACATCAACAAATCAATTTGTTCTCATTTTTTTCATGTCCCCTTTCAGAATGCCCTTAGCCAAATGATTAGTCTTATTTTTTGGCAGAAATTGGAGACTTGCTCAGGAGTCTTCAATAATCTTGATAAATCTACCTTGTGTTTGCTGAGGGAATGTGTTTGGATCCTAAAAAAATGATTCAAGTTGCAACAGCTGGTAAAATAAATTAAAATCAATAATAATCTGTACATTTTTTTCAACTTTAATATTACATTAAGAAATTATTGCTAACTTAAAACTTCATCAGGGATGCCTTGGTGGCTCAGTCAGTTAAGCATCTGCCTTCAGCTTAGGTCATGATCCCAGGGTGCTGGGATCGAGCCCTGCATCGGGTTCCCTGCTCAGCGGAGAGCCTGCTTCTCCCTCTGCCTGCTGCTCCCCCTGCTTGTGCTCGCTCACTCTCTCTCTCTCTCTCTCTGACAAACAAATAAATAAAATCTTTAAAAAAAAAACCTTCATCATTACTTGAATTCTTTTTAGCCCTATGTAAAAGCAGATGGCTATGAATTCATATCTTATACAATTATGTATATATGAGAATTTAATTTAGTTTTATTCTTGTTTCTTTCAAGACAACCTCAAATTTAAATTGCTCTTAAGCTTTTTATTCTCCATATCACATTTTGTAGTAGAATTAGCATTTAGGATATTTTGGGAGGTTGTAACAAACAAGAGAAAAATATAAAATTGTTTGTCATTTCCAGGTATTCCTTGCTTCTCTCCCCTCCAAAAAATAACAAAAACAAAAGCAAGCAAACAAAACAACAAAACCTGGAACTTTTAAAAAACAGAGTATTTCCTGATTCCAAGGTATACAGGTAATACACATAACGTGAATGTGTAACATTGAGGCTACTCTAAGGTATCAATTAAATCACTTCAGAATTGCACTTCATGCAAGGCTAAATCAGAATAAGGAAGACTTTTGGTTTACATAAATTGCTTTTATTCTAAACACCCAAATAGGCAATCATAGCTCTAAAGAGACATTTCTATTACCACGCAATGGGCTCTCATACCAGCACTAACCCCAAAGGCCTAAACAAGTTGCCTAATTTGATATACATTATCATTGGGCACTATGTTATATATCCTGAAGGGAAAAAGGCCAGAAAGGTTTGTATCACTTAAGGAATCTTTAGAATTAACTTGTAAACTAATTTTATCACGTACGTATCCTTTCATGTAAATTATTGCATCCTATTATGTTGAACTATTATGCTGAAATAGAATTATGTTGAAATCCCAAGCATGGAACACAAACCCCATACTGATAAGAGATATTTTAAGAAATTCTTTATCCTCCATTAAAGCCCACAGCCCGGGAGCCCTGAGCAAGGACTTGAACACTAGGTTTATGACACAAAGCTGTTGGTTTTGCGTCCCATCACTGGTTGTCTTGATGGTAGAACAATGAATTACATTTTTTTTTTAAGTTAAATAGGAAAAAACAGAAGAGTTCCATGAACCTCACCTTTGGTTAGTTCTGTTTGTTTCAGGAGACACTTTGATGAGGCTGTCAAGACTTTGGCCCCTTTAAAACATGGAAGAAATGATCAGATCAGTGGTTGATTTACATCACGTGGCTGCAAATATTAAAACCGAGAAACATTTTTTGTTATAAAAATATTTTGTTAGAAAATATTTATGAATACAGAGACCATCTCAAAGGATTGGAGTTTTCCAGTGCTGTGAATATATATTTTTGGATCTACCTACTGCTGCATAGAAATAATAAACAATAACCACCGGTTTTAGAAAATTCATGATGTGCCAGGCACTGTTCAAGTGATTTACGTGATTTATATAAGTGAATCCTCACATCAATTATTCAATATAGGAAGTATTACCATCCTATTTTCTCAAAGGGAAAAACTGAAACAGAAAGATTAAGTGAAAGCACAGTACTCTAACTCAAGAGCGCTTGGCTCTTTCCATGATACCAACCATCGTGTTGGCACTTAGTAATTGCATTAGCACTGAAGTGACTAGACAGCACCTGGTCCAATTTCCTTACTGTGAGGACAAGGAAACAAGCCCTCAAAGGGGAAGTGGCCAATCGCATTTTGCACAGTTAGTGAGGGCAGAGCTAAGGCCTAGGCCCACATCTATGGTCTCCCGTCTAGTCTCTTTCCCCCCTCCTGTGCCATCCTCTGCTTAAGAAGAATAAACAAATCAATGAACATAAGTGTCTTGTCCATTCTTGGAAATCAACTGTGCATCTAATTAATCAAAGGTTATCTCCATTACATTAAGAATTAGTTGACCAAAATCTTCAACACTTTAGATATGAGGTCATGGAAGTCACATGATTTTTCTTGAGCTATTATTGAGCTGTCAATCTGCTAAAATGTTAATTTAATTATATTTTTAAGCATTGGTATGTATAAAACAAAAAACCCAGAAGCTTATTAAATCTTACCCTTGCATGTTTTTTCCTGTTCTTGGAACCACTTTGATGAGGTTATCAAGATCTTTGGAACTTAAAAACAAAAAACAAAAATGATAAGTAAAAATGGAATTAAATCAACTAAGTATTTATTTAAAAGATATATGTGCTCAAGATGAGTTTTACTATTAAGTTTTGAGAAAAATCATACCAGTCTTTGTCCTTAATTTTTAAAGTACAAATTTTGACCTCCATACAAATCATCAATATATGGCTCAGATTCCTATTTACCCTCAAAATAAAACCATAACTTTAGGGCAATATTGAGTTTTTAAAAAATCAATTAGCAACTATGTAATGATTTGCCAAAAACTTTCGCCTGCCTCCCCAACAAGTATTCCATCTAACACTGTAGCTGTTACTAAACTGTATTTTGTCAATAATTTCCATTTATAGTGCCTTCTTGCTTTAAAGGGATTTTATATCCATTATTTCACTTGATGCTTACAACAACCAAGTGACAAAGGTATACCACACAGTTATAAATGATCCTCATTTTATAACTAAAGAAGCCTCAGCTCAGAGTGTTCTAGGGACTTGCTCAAAGGCAAGTAATGGGAAGTAATGGATTTCAAGCTTCCTGATTCCAACCCAAAGATTTTTTCCACACAGCTTTTCTGATGAGGGACACAAATTGATGCAGGCGGGGAAGGAAGAAAGATAAGACATAATCTTCACCTTGCGTTACTTCTGTTTACTTCAAGAGTCACTTTAATGAGATTGTCAAGGCTCTGGCCCCTTTAAACATTGAAGAAAAATGATGAGGTTAATGATAGATTAATACCAAATGAATAAAGCTATTTATTAAAACTCGGAAACAGGACAAACACTGAGATCATGCCAAAGAATGGAAGATTGTTAAAAGCGATGATGCAGAAGTATGTAGGGATTTATACATCTCTGAGACTCAATGAGACAGTATTTTAATCTTAGAGCCTTTAGGTCAGTTGCAAACACTGTACTGGGACTCTGTCTCTATTATGATTCATTTAATGCTATGCTCTAAACCTTTGATAGGTGCACTGAACATTTTGTAGTAGTCTATATATGCATCTCATGGAACATTCCAGAAAGCATATCCTCTCTTAATATCAACCTCCAACATGCTGTGGGAATTTAAAATCAACTTTGGAGAATCCATATTTTGTAAAATTTACATTCATTAGCAGATTTTCTATTCACAACACTGGATTAAGAATAATATACCAATTTGTTGAGGTCCATGTTATACAACCTGGTATCTGTGTCTGGTACTTATGTGTTCAAATTACAAATTTGGACTAGTTTTGTTGGCAACAAACAATAGGAAGATTAAAATCTACAGAGTTCTGAAATGTAAGCTATATTTACTATAATAAAAAAACTCCATGTAGTCACTAAAAACATGTCAGTATTTTGTTGTTACCCTTGAATATATTCTGTTTCTGATCTTAATGGAATTTTGTTTTTCATATTGTTTCTATGTGTTTTCCATGAACACAGCACAAGCCAATGCCCCTCTGATCTACAGAGGATGCTACATGGGCAAAGGACATCTACAGAAGGTACACCCTGTTTCTCCATGCCCTGTGGTCCTACTAAGATTGTATCACAAAGTCTCTGAGGTTGCATCTATACAACATCAAAGATACAGATATTTGGAAGCAACCAGATGTTGACCCAAGTTTTTACTTGTATCCAGATGTCTGAGAATGTATATACCCAGGCTAAAAGCAGCAATAAAAAAATGCAGACCTTTTCCATGCAAAATGAAACAATTAACCCAACAGAGGCAACTATTCTATCCCAGAATACCCCTTGTTGATGTTTTTTTTTTGTTTTTTAAAGGTTTCATTTATTTGACAGAGAGAAACACAGGGAGAGAGGGAACATTAGCGGGGGAGGGGGAGAGGGAGAAGCAGGCTTCCCGCCGAGCAGAGAGCCCGATGCGGGGCTCGATCCCAGGACCCTGGGATCATGACCTGAGCCAAAGGCAGACGCCTAACGACTGAGCCACCCAGGCGCCCCCCCCTTGTTGATGTTTTTTTACCTCTTGTTAATTTTTGCCTAAATGAAGTATGTGAGATTTGAATGCCAGAGTCTGAGAAAAAAATTCCCAGAATTCTATTTCCAGATTTGAGTACTTAAAAAAAAAAATAACACAACAGTTAAGTATTGTACCCCTTCCCTTGTCATACTTTTGTTGATTCTGGAGTTCACTTTGATTATATTGCCAAGAACTTGATCTCTTTAAACATATTAAAAATATATAAGTGGAAGGTTATTTAAATCTCAAAGTAAATAAAATCAATAAAGTGGAGTGTGCTAATTAATGTAGTAATTTAAACTAGTATTTTGAGCTAAACTGTGAATTAATGCCTCATAGTATATATATCCTCAGTATTCATTCATTCTTTCAATCCACAAATATTTATGGAAACCTGTGAATAATACAGACATAGGCTTTGCCCTCATGAGGCTTCTATTCTAACTTGGAAAGAGGCAGGCAACATACAATCAAACATATAAATGAATGTCACAATTCCAGATAACAATACATGCTCTGAAGAAAAGAAGGACTGCCTGGTGCCTGTGGTGCTGGGGTTGGAGGAGGGGGTGGTGACAATTACAGTCAATGGTCAGAAATGACAAGATGGGGGTAAAGCCAGTCCCAAAGTGGGAATAGCATATGCAGAACTCGTAAGGTAAGAAGGAGCCAGGAATAGAAAAAAAGATTAATGGAGCACCTGGGTGGCTCAGTTGGTTAAGCGACTGCCTTCAGCTCAGGTCATGATCCTGGAGTCCCAGGATCGAGTCCCGCATCAGGCTCCCTGCTCAGCGGGGAGTCTGCTTCTCCCTCTGATCCTCTTCCCTCTCATGCTCTCTGTCTCTCATTCTCTCTCTCTCAAATAAATAAATAAAAATTTAAAAAAAATAATAATTAAAAAAAAAAAGAAAGAAAAAAAGATTAATTTGGCTGGACTGTATTGAACAAGTAAGAGACCATTGCTGAGGGTTAGAATTGTAATGTACCTGAAACGGAAAAACACTGTAATTTTTTAATAAGAGAGGGAAGATGATATAGTTTTGCTTTTAAAAGATCGACAGAACTTAATTACGTGTAGTGAAAGAAAAAGACAACTACTGTCCCTAAAAGCTCTCATGAAGCGCGTGGGCGTGCACACACACACACACACACACAGTGCATACTCCCAAATACATGGACACAGATGCACACACATAGACATCCATGTACACATGAACTCATATACACACAAAAGCATACAGATATACATATATTTATGCACACGTAAGCATGTGTGCACTTTTACGCCATCACACACGGGACATTTGCACAGACACGCACACCCATACATATACACACACTCATGCAAACACAGGCACACACACATAAAACATTTGCATGTATACACATGTGCACACATAGACATGCACACAGAAACACACCGACATATGAAAAACAATAGGTGATGATTTAAACTACTCTTCTAAATAAAAATTAGAAAGGAAAACATGGATTTTTCTTGGAGAATCAAAGTCAATTAAATATTTGAACAGTATGTAAATCATTAACAGAATATAATTCACCTAAATCTTTATTATTGTTAACAATTACTTATACCCACTCTGTGCCAGGCATGAGTGTTATGATCCCTGTTTTGTGGATGAGTAAGTGGAAGCATGAGGACACAGCTAGCAAGTGACCAAGCCAGAATTTGAACCCAGAATTTGAACTTCCTGCTCTGGTTACCTTCCAGGACCACCCAAGTAGCCAAGGAAATCGATGCTTTCTTCTCAGTCTATTGGGAGTCTCTAACTCAACTCCCTGGGTGGCTGGGCCTCTGACCATGTCATGCTGCTGAGAACAGGACAGCCAGACTGTGTAAAAACACCAGCTTTTCAGCTAGCTGAGCCCTTGCTCTGCTGACTGGGCCTGCAGGCATCAGTGACACATTTTAGAATCAACTAATAATATTATGTACTGAGTTAACTGAATGGAAAGAAATTCAAAGGAAACCACATGGAATTATTTGGTGCGCTGTTTGTGGCAACATACCAACAAGCTCAGTTTCAAATATATTCCGTCTGCTCTTTAAAAAATAAAAAGCAGGAGGACATAAGCTTTCCAGATTTACTTGACAGTTCATGGGTAGTGGAACTCTTTTAATGAAGTACACTTTGTTAAGCTCTTCATCTTTAAACATACATTATGTTTACATATGTTACACACAAATACACTAGACATGCACACATCATTCACACGTGAACACATCAAAGATACAGATATTTGGAAGCAACCAGATATATACACACACACTACTTATACATCCACATACATACACTTATATATATTTATATTGTGTATACACACACATACACTATATAGACACACACATTTTGATGGCTAATTTCATATGTTAACTTGACTGGGCCACAGTGTGCCTAGATTTGGTCAAACTTTGTTTTGGGTTTGTCTGGGAGGGTGTTTTGGGGTGAGATTAACATTTAAATCTATAGACTGAGTAAAGTAGATGGTCCTCCCGAACATAGTGGGCCACAACCAATCAGTTGAGGACTGGAATAGAGCAAAAAGGCTAAGTTTGAAGGGAGTTTGCCTGCCTGACTGCTTGACCTAAGACATCTTCTTCTGGTGTTGGAAGTTAAACCATCAGCTCTCGTGATCCTTAGGCATTTGGATTTAGACAGGAACTGCATCACTGGCTGTCCTAGGTGTCCAGCTTGCAAACTACAAATCTTGGGACTTCTCAGCTTCTGTAAGAGCATGAGCCAATTCCTTATAATAAATTTCTTTCTCTCTCTCTCTCTCTATTTATACATATCCTATTGTTTCAGTTTCTCTGGAAAACCCTAATCAGTCCACGTACATACTCTTATACCCAAACCCTTATACATACACACTATTTATATATACACAAATACAATAATAAAAACACACACTGCTTACAAATACACACTTATACACACACACACACACACACACAAAGAAATCATTTAACTCAGCAGAGAAACTCAAATTCCTGTTTAATTTCTCAAAATCTACCTGATAGTAAGCTTCACCCAAAAATAAAATGTAAAAGATCACTTCTGGGTATCACTTGTATAAAACTGCTTAATATGATATGTTTGGAGAAAAGACAACTGGGTTTGAATTTCAATTTACTCTCCTGAATACAAACACTCAGGATTCCAATGTGCTTATGAATGCCAAAGGGAAGGGGGAAGCTTTAAATGTCTTACCTCTTGATATTTTTATTTGTTTCAGGATTCACTTTAATCAATCCATTGAGATCTTGTTTGCTTTGAATAAAAAAGTGAGTTTTAGAGAATGTTATTAAGTAAAACACTAATCAAGTGAACAATGACTGGAGAAGTAATGTGAGTCAGATAAAGTTCTGTACTGGATCCAGACAGAATATAAATTTCAACTCAACAAATCAGATATAATTGCCTATTCTGTTTTTAAATAATAAGAACAGTGTCAATAATAATAATAATCATATTTTTACAGTAAGAATATATGTCTTCATATAAAGTCAACCATTTCCCTAACCCAAGCTTTTTAAAAATATAATTAGATTATGATAAATACAAAGAGCAAGAAAAAAATACCTTACATGGTAGGAAAATTGACTCATTTCTTGGTGGGGGGGACAAGTCACCCTCATTAAAATGCATGGAGTAGTATTAAAGGGGATAACCTGAACCCCAAAAAGAGAATACTGTGAGGTTGGCAGAAGTATCATGACTTCACGCCCCTGCCACGTTGACAGAGCCGTGAAGAGGAGAAAAAGTGGCAGAATTTCCTTACTCCCAGTGGATACACCTGCCCAGCCCTCCCTTGGGCTGTCTTCTGAGACCAACATCCTTAGGGAAGCTGATTCACAAGAGTTTTAGTCAAGCCTCACTTTTGGCTATCTTTGTTATTTTATTTATTTTTTAAAACATTTTGTATTTATTTGACAGAGAGAGATAGTGAGAGCAGGAACACAAGCAGGGGTAATGGGAGAGGGAGAAGCAGGCCTCCCACAGGGCAGGGAGCCCGATGTGGGGCTCAATCCCAGGACCCTGGGATCATTAAGGCAGACACTTAACCATTGAGCCACACAGGCACCCCAGTAACTTTGTTATTTTAGAGATCCACCTTGAAAATGTTGTCAAGATCATGCATTCTTTAGATGCAAAGAAACTCATCTGGGATAAAAGGCAACTTACTATCAAATGCTAGGACAGTTCTTCAAAAAATAAGTGATTTTATTAGGAATAAGAAGGGAAGGTCATGTGGCCCACTGTTATTGTCTATCTCCATGCTAATAAAATATGGTTATGAAGTTAAAATGCCAAATCATTTTATCTTATTGATTGTTACTTACAGAAATCAGACTTAAAGACACTAATAATTCTTACCCAGTGGCGTTTTCACTTCCTTTGGGCTTTGCTTTGATAAGATTATCAAGGTCTTCACCTCTTTAAAAAAAAGTTTAGATCTGTTTCAAAGTATTATATATAAATAGTATTATATATTATATATAAATAGACATTCCATATTATTGATGATTAATTAAAAGCTTTTGGAGAAAATTATTGTACAGGAATTATATTAATTTTATTATAAAAATTATCTATCAATAACATAGTTAAATTAATCTCTGGGATTTTATATTAGCCAAATGTAAATTTATAGAAACTGTTGTAGAGCCTCCGAAGTGAAAATCAGGGTGGTAGGGATCAGACACAGAAGACAGAAGGCAAACTCAGAGATGTGACCCCCTCAATGTCACTGAGAATATCACACAGTGAAATTTGGGAGAAAACAACCAAGATTCAGAAACATCAAAACAGTTCTCACCCTCTCCTAGTTTTATCTGTCCTGGCATTCACTTTGATAATCGTTTCGAGATCTTGGCTTCTTTGGAAAAAACAAACAAACAAACATGAAAACCTTGTGTTACTTAGGTTACACTCAGTTTTCTCTGAAATTTGTATAAACAAGAATGTCCCTGAAAGGATATCAGATGTTTCCAAGCCAAATGGCCAGAAAAACTTGGATGTAATTATTCTCAACTGAGCTCTGTTAATTTCCCCAGCAGTACTTAGTTTAAATCCGTTTAGAAGAACTTCCCAACATACCTCTCACTTTGCAATTTTGTCCTTTATATTTCTTAGTTTAAATATAAGACTTGGCTCATGTTTTAATTGTTTAAGAAAATACAGAATAAGAGATTATGTAGCAGATTTCCTGCACTTACTTCAATGTAACTCAAACATGTGGTCCTATGGAAACAGCATTCATCATATTCCTTTGTTTACTCTCTGATAGGCCTATAAAGTGCAACAGTTCATCTGTGACCAAGGAAAGCATAACACTCCCATTTCTAACGAGGTGTGAGAAACTAACTTGAAAAAAGAGAGCCGCAGCAAGGTAGGACTTTTACTTACCCTTTCTCATTTTTGTCAGTCCTTTGATTAACTTTAATAAGACTTCCAAGGCCTTGGTTTCTTCATAACATTGGAGCAGGGAGGACAGCAGAGCAACAAAAAGAGGAGAGAGAGTAATTCAATCTCTTACGGCAACAGCAGATTTCTCAGCACAAGAGAAAGATGTTACCAGTACTTAAAGCCTCAGAAGTCTTTAAAAATGTTCAATACAAGTGACTCTTCTTATGCAAAATGCTGGAGAGATATGCCAACTATTCTTATATTAAGGTCCCAGTCATTACTCCATTGTGATTAAATCACTTTAATGGAATAATTTTTAATAAAATAATAAACATTCCTGCTATTTAGAACTGAGTTGTTGTGCTGACAGTTTATACAATGTTATAATCTTCAGGTTACTTTTATTACTATGCATCATAGCGCCAGAGCCCAGTATCAGTATAAGGAGATCTGGATTCAAATCTTAGTTCTGATTTTAATGGGGTTTGTGACCATGTTCTTTCACTTCTCTGCACCAAGTTTCCTCACTATAAGGGAATTAGACTATGCTATTGTTTATATTAATATATTTATATATTATATTTATATATTAATAATAATATTAAATATTATTTTAATATTTTATCCTTCATATTCTCAAAAGACCTAATGGTTAAAGAGCCTGACCTGTGGATTGAGGCCAAGTTAGTGCAAACCCTTTATTTTTTTACTTTTTATTTTTTTTGGTAAAGATTTTATTTATTTATTTGACAGAGAGAGAGAGCGGCAGGCAGAGGGAGAGTGAGAAGCAGGCTCCCCACTGAGCAGGGAGCGCGACATGGGGCTTGATCCCAGGACCCTGGGATCATGACCTGAGCTGAAGGCAGACGCTTAACCGACTGAGCCACTCAGGTGTCCCTTATTTTTTATTTTTAAAGTAAATATAACGGTTTTATTTTAAGATTTATTTATTTATTTTAGAGAGAGAGCACGCAAGTGAGAGCGTGTGCAAGTGGGGAGGAGGGACAGAGGGAAAGGGAGAGAATCTCAAGCAGACTCCTTGCTGAGCGTGGAGCCCAATGTGGGGCTCCATCTCACGACCCTGAGATCATGACATGAGCTGAAACCAAGAGTCCCACACTCAACCAACTGAGCCACCCAGGTGCCCCAGTAAATTTAATGTTTTTTATTGAAATAGAGTTGAGGGGCACCAGGGTGGCTATCGGTTAAGCATCTGCTTTTAGTTCAGGTCATGATCCCAGGGTTCTGGCATCGAGCCCCACATCAGGCTACCCGCTGAATGGGGAGCCTGTCTCTCCCTCTCCCTCTGCCTGCCGCTCCCCTTGCTTGTGCTCTCTCTCTCTGTCAAATAGATAAACAAAATCTTTGAAATAGAGTTGACATACAATGTTCACATTAGTTGCAGGTGTACAACATAGTGATTCAACAACTCTATACATGATACGATGTTCACTACAAGTGTAGCTACCATCTGTCACCATATAATGCTATTTTAATTTTAATACCATTGACTATATTCCCTACACTGTACCTTTTATCCCCGTGACTTACTCATTCCGTAACTAGAAGCCTGTATCTCCACTTTCCTTCACCCATTTTGTCCATCCCTATACCACACTCCCCTCCGGCAACCATCAGTTGGTTCTCTGTATTTATGTGCCTATTTCTGCTTTTTCTTTGTTTTTTTAGGTTTCATATATAAGTGAAATCATATGGTATTTGTCTTTCTCTGTCTGACTCATTTCACTTAGCATAACTCCCTCTAGGTCAATCTATGTTGTCACAAATGGCAAGATCTCATTTTTTATGGCTAAGTAATATTCCTGTGTGTGTGTGTGTGTATAAATACACACCACATTTCCTTTATCATTAAACCATTTTAAAAATAAAAGTTCCCTTCAGGTCTCAGTTTGTGCTTTCTTTGTCCTTCCAGGGATGGCTGGTGGGAAGCTAACTTCAATACATTTGTTGATATACTGCCTTCTTTAAACATGAAACTCATTCATACAAGGGGTAGAAATTAGATGGTCAACATTTTAAATCTAAACCCTTTGGAAATTTTTTTTTTAAAGATTTTATTTATTTACTTGAGAGAGAGTGAGAGAGAGAGAGCACAGAGGGAGAGGGAGAAGCAGACTCCCCGTTGAGCAGGGAGCCGGATGCGGGGCTCAATCCCAGGACCCTGAGATCATGACCTGGCCGAAGGCAGATGCTCAACCAACTGAGCCACCCAGGTGCCTCAACCCTTCGGAGATTTAGACATGTCATTTTTAGCAAAAAGTTCAAGGTTCTGAAGTACCCTTGGAAAAGTAGAAATAAGTCTATGATGGCTCCAGTTCCTTATATAAATTGACTACAAACAATAAACCTTTTCCATGCAGATAGTTTAAAGCTATTAGGGAACATCAAAGTTAATCCCTCTAAATCCCCCAATTGTCCAGGGGTTGTCCTTTGTCATTTTCATCTGTCTCTGATTTTACTGTGATAAGACTATTAACATTTTAGTTTCTTTCAATATAAGAAAGAAGGCAGAGAGGGAGGGCTGGAAGAAGGACAAAGCACTATGGACTGACTCAACCACATCAGTGAGTTTGGTCATTCCTGCATCAGAAAGCCAGTTGCTGTCAAATTATCCCACATTACAAATCACATCTCTTTTCTCCTCCTTACCAGTCCAGAAATGATTTACTTGAGAATTTCATCCTAATTTTTCTATTTTCTACCACTTTGGTGGACCCTTCCCAATTTCATTTTTTAAATATCTGAAATCTCATCTTTTCCTATAAAGCTCATATAACCACTCACAGAGAACTGACAGTTTTCTCACTTCATCTGTTCTCCATGAGAAGAAAACTTTTTACCTGTAATAATACTTGGACATGGACATTATAATAATATATTGTTAATAAGGATTCAGTATCTGTGAAACTATTATTGCCAATTATCTTCACATTATTATCACATAGACTTTAAGTGTTCTACATCAGAGACAGTTGAGAATGCATCTGCCAAGATTGACTTGGAAAGCTAGAATATCATTCTGGGCACAGAGTGGCACAGATGAATGGCTTTAAAAGATAAGACAATAGAAATAATTATCACGTTAGGAAGGCAAATCTGATGACTAACCAAGTACAAGGTAAACAGCCAGTCTGGGGGAAAAAGAGTAGTGACCTCCAAAATCCTTACCCTTTGTCATTCTTGACCATTCTGGGATTTTCTTTCTTTCTTTTTTTTAAGATTTTATTTATTTATTTGTGAGAGAGAGAGAGAGAGAGAGCACAAGCAGGGGGAGTGGCAGGCAGAGGGAGAAGCAGGCTCCCCACTGCACAAGGAGTCTGCCTCGGGGCTTGATCCCAGGATCCTGAGATCATGACCTTAGCCAAAGGCAGACGCTTAACCAACTGAGCTACCCAGGCATCCCTTTTCTGGGATTTTCTTTAATAAAACTGTCAAGAATTTGATTTCTTTCCATATAAAAAATAATATCAGTCATGTAAGTCAATTTTCTAGGATTTCAGTATCAGTCTAGAACTATAAAACAACATCTTTAATGTTATCAGTTCAGTTACTAATCATTCACTAACCCTTTTTATGATATAAAATAGGTAAAGGCATTACTCTTGACCCTGAGATATTTACAAATATATGTGAGATATACATATGAAGTGACTCAACCAAGATTCTAACTGAAAAGTGTCTTAGAGCATTATAAAGACTTCAGTGGGGAGAAACTATGCTCCCAGGATCAAAATGTCTTAGAGTAAATATATTTAGTTCATAAACCAGGCTACTGTCCACTACTTGTAACAGCCAGCTAGAGTTCCTTCATATTTAAATACAAAAGGGAACCTGGAGATCATCTAGGTCATGCTCTTCATTTTATGGGATGAGGAAACAGCAGTCTGCACAGGTTAAATGACCTGCCCAGGGTCATCCAGATTGATGTGGGTGGCAGAGCCAGCACTAAGATATCCACTTATTTCCTGACCTCCACCCCAACCCCCCATCCAAGTCCTGTCCCACCAGCCTCCCTGCCCCTTGTCCTGAGCAGGAGGTCACATGCTAGAAATGGCATATAGTCTAGGACTCAATCAAAGAGGCCTGCAAGAGTCAAATCTTACCCTTTTCCGTCTTTGTCTGTTCGAGTATTCATAAAAATGAGATTTTCAAGGCTTTTGGCTCTGTAAACACAAAGAAATTCAAATAAAAGGCTACATATTGAAGTAAAATTGTGTGGTATCTTGAGAGGTCAGATGCAATAAACATTCTTCATGAATTGCTCATTTACTCTTATTGAATGGAAGAGCAGAAATCCTTCCGGGCAATTATATCTGAGCTAAATGTACAATTCTGAGAGTACTTCTCCATCTGCTAGTACATTGCCATGCCAGAGGATACAACCCCCTTCTGGCGAATGTCTGAAAAAATAAAGCAAGCAATCTGGGAGATCAGATTTTCAGGTTAGGGACAGATGCACTTACCTTTTCTCTGTTTGCTCTGCCTTAGGATTTGCTCTGAAGAGACCATCAAGACCTTGATTTCTTTAAATGCATTGAACAAAAAAACCTCATCAGTGGTAATAATATATACTTAACTCTATAGAAATATAAACCAGTTTATATTTCTATAGATAGACAGGAAATAGAAGCTGGGTGGAAAAGATGAGTGACAATTCTTGAAATTGCTTTCTTCCAAATAAGTATTTTCATAAACTCAAAATTTAAATTGCAGTGGACCTCAGAGAAAATAAGATAGAAAATACAAACTGGGGATCCACACACAACCAATAGGCACTGTATGGATTTCACAGAGTGTTTTGTTTTAATGTGAGCCAATGTTGACCCTCTGTCTTTATAGATGAAGAAACTGAAAAGCAGCTCATTTAAATGAGTTGTTGATAGTCAATCATATGATCACTGTTGTCAGAACAGGGTATGAACACCACACTTCTGGATGCTCAGAGCAATGAGGTCATTTGACATTTGCCTTGTTTCTCTGTCTCTCTGGTCCCTACCCATTTAGTATATTAGCAGGCAAAGTAACAGAGAGATAGCAAAAACTGCACACACTTCCAACACAGACCTCAATTACTATAATCTTTAAATTGTGCAATTATAAATGATTCAAAATTAAGGAGGTAAGGTCAACTAAGATAGTAAGTGGCTTTTGTAAAGTATAAAACTGAAAGCATTCAGTTTTCTGAATGCTTTCAAACTAAACTCTGACCACATACTAACATGTTAATATTTCAGGAAGAGAACTGTGGTTATTTATATAACTGCCTTACTAAATAGAGTGTGAAAATCAAAGATACTTTAATATTAGTATCTTTAGGTTGTAATAACCATTTATAGCAGTGATGAAATGATGATGATTCCTGCAAGCTTTTTATTCAAGACTTGTAGGCTATTTTTAACTCACCCAGTATGTGGGTCCTCATGCTCAAGTACTAAAAAGACATAAGAAGTCACAATGTGCAACTCAATAATAAAGCAAAAAAATGGATGTTTTCAAATCTTACCTATTCAAGCTTTTGTTCATTTTGATGAGATTATCCAATTCTTCACTTTTGGAAGACAAAAATAAAAAACAAAAATCTCACATCATTAAAAGCCTGCCCCGAGTCAAAGGTCAGGTCCACCTTAAACCACTGTTTCTGAGTTCCCTGGAATACAACACATGCCACCAAAATCTTGCTTATCCTTCAAGGCTCTCTTCAAAAGCCTCTTTCTCCAACACATAGTTCCCAGTCCTTCAACGGCATAGAGTCCTCTACATTTTTGGAAACCTTGCTGCATTTTGTTTTTTTCCATCTCCTTTATGGCACTAACACTACTATATTCTGTAATATAGCAACTACATACTTGTCTCGTGTTCATGTCCCTGCTCCTACATCTCTCTCTTTCACACAGACACACACACACACACACACACACACACCCCACTTAAAATTTAGAACTGTATTTTACATTGGGTCCTCTTCAGTCTTTAATACCGTATTCTTTAAACAGTAAATATTTAATATAGGTTTTTATTTGTTTTTTGTTTGTTTGTTTGTTTGTTTTATTTGAGACAGAGAGAACGAGAGAGAGAGAGCACATGAGAGGGGGGAGGGTCAGAGGGAGAAGCAGACTCCCTGCCGAGCAGAGAGCCCGATGCGGGACTCGATCCTGGGACTCCAGGATCATGACCTGAGCCAAAGGCAGTCGCTTAACCAACTGAGCCACCCAGGCGCCCCTATAGGTTTTTATTTGAATCAACAAATATGGGTACTTTGACTAATTGTAGATTCTATCTTTATGCAATGTACCTGCACAAAGTAGCTATAGGAAAACACCTGTTCATCAGTAAGTCTGGCTGCTTTCTTAAATTGTGATCCTACTTCATTCTAACTACGCTAAATTTGCGATCTTGTGTCTGTATTTGAGAACTGCAACTTTCTGGCTGCTTCCCATGGAGCAACCTGTTTAGGCTAAACCCCTGGGTTCCAGAATATCCCTTAGTGTCACCTGAGTGCAGGTCTCTTCCCCAAGAAGGCAGCCTCAGTGGGTTTGTGGTTCCTGTTTGCTCCTCACAGCATTGTCTCTCTTCAACATTTCTGCCACCCCTTTGCCCCCATTTCTCTTGCCTTCCTAATTCAGTTTTTAGATCACCAATCACGGTTTCCTTTCTTCCTGCTCTAGGATCACACATTTTCCACACCGTCTCAATGTTCCTCTTTCTTCTGCGTCATCCCTGGAACCTACCAGGAGGCCATGAGGCCACATCACTCAGTAGTTACATATTCAGTGTCTCAGGTCAGGGATACATGGATCCCAACCCAGGATTCACCCCTTATTGTCTGGTGACTCTGGGTGAGTTACCGAACCTCTTGCTGCCTCAACTTTTCCATCTGTCCGACAAAAATACCAATTGTACCCACCTGAGAAAACAATCAATAAGCTAGTGAGTATAAAGTGTGTAGCATTATGTCTGGCAAGTCATAAACTCTCAATTAATTTTGGCCATTACAGGAAACAGTTCCGAGTCTACTAAAGTTTTCATTTAATAAATGCTTGCTATGCTTATTTTTTAAATGCTTTTAGAGACATCAAGACTTTGGCTCCAGCTAGACAGGTATAGTTGCTGAGTCACTTATGTGCTTTGAAGATGCCTGGCACAATGCATTGCCATAATAGCTTAGAGACCCTAAAAACATTTAAATTAACAGCCATCACATAGATGAATCCTTTCAAGTAATGTTACATATTCAGTGGTAGGATAAATACTGAAATATAAATGTTGCTGACCCTGACAAAAAATTGATTAACGTACTATCTAGTCCCTTGACACAATGCCCCATTGTTGTTTCTTGCTTGAAATTCCACTGTCCAGCTCTGAGAGTATGAATCTGTCTGTGTCTCCAAGGAAAAGAGCAAACCTAAGAATCCTGTAAAATTGTAGTCCCAGGCCCTTCTGACTAGTGTGAGTCACAGTGATGTGATAATCAGGATTTGGGGTTGCTCCTGTTTATCACAAACAAATGCACATAACTCATGAGATGACACTCTGTGGTAAATTAAATAAAATGGAGACAATATTCTGACTAAAGAAGTTGGACTTTTAAAATGACCTTACATTGAGGAAAGCTTTGGATATTAAATTTCACCATTCCATGTGCAGTAAATTAAATGTTCTTAATCAGGTAGGAGTCCACTTCACACTGGAATATCAGCAAGAGCAGCTCAGGTGAATAAAACTATTTCTAATCCCCACACAAGGCCCACAGTAATGGTAGTTGAGTATGTCGATCTGACAGACATTTCCCCCGGCCACAGCCAGAGCAGTAACTTTTCCCTGTGAAGAACACATCTCGTTGTGGAATTTGTGCATCATGCCTACAGAGAGGGGACAGGACTAACTGTAGTTCTCATTGTTTTTGTTGAATTTGTGCCAAACCATAATTTCCCATCAGCATCACTCACCCGTCTCTCCTTCAAACACCCCCATCACTCACAAAAAAACTGTTCAATCCCTCTTAAAAACAAAATATTAGGGGTTCCTGGGTGGCTCAGTCGTTAAACGTCTGCCTTAGGCTCAGGTCATGACCCCAGGGTCCTGGGATCGAGCCCCGTATCGGGCTCCCTGCTCCACGGGAAGCCTGCTTCTCCTTCTCCCACTCCCCCTGCTTGTGTTCCCTCTCTCGCTATGTCTCTCTCTGTCAAATAAATAAATAAAATCTTAAAAAAATATATGACCTCAAAAAAGTAAATAGATAAAATTAGAGATCCAGGCACTTAGATAAGAGAAATGGAAATGAAACATTCAGGCTACTTTCTGGAGTCCCCGTCTAGATTCAGAGCTCCAATCAGTTTCGTTTGTACAGAAGAGCTACCTGTTGCTTCTGTTTCTTCTCTTCAGTTCTTTTGATTGAGACTGCAATCCCTAATCACACTTAGCATTGCTGAATTCCACTGAGCAAGGAGTATTTTTGTAGGAACTGGATTTAAACTATGGAATGTTTATACTCCAGGTTTCCTGCTGTTCATCATTCTTTACCATAATCTATTATATAAGCACATACTTTGCACAAAGCAGCATGTCAGACTCTGCAAATGACTTATGGTCAATAGGTCAACAAAATATTTGCTCTAAGAGATTAAAGAGATGATAGAGAAGATGAGGTATTTACATAGATACCATGAAATAACAAATATGATTAGTTGTTATAACACATAAATAGTGGGGCTCTAATAGCTTAGAGAAAAGAAGTCACATCTCACTGAATCATTCTGGGAAGACTTCACAGAGGAGGTGATATCTGATCTAGATCTTGAAAAATTAGGTAGGACTTGAATGAATTGATACGGTGGCCTTGAGGCTAGGAAAGGCTGCCATATGGGTGGCATGCCATAAACAAAGGCAAAGTGTCTGGAAACTGTAGGAAGAAAGTGGTTTAATTTGGTATTGCCTGTAGGGTAAATGTAAGGGTGAAGTCAGAAATAACTCTGGAATGTTAGGTTGGAGCCAAGTTAACAAAGGTTAAATGTAATTGAACAGGCAATGGGGAGCCAGTGAAGCAGTTGTTCAAGGAGAATTTTAGGAAGAAAGCTCTGGCAGTGATGGGTAGTAATGGTTTAGGGGAGGAGAGACTGAGGGAATGTAAGTAAATCTGGATAGCTACTCTAATAACCTATGATGGAGTCGATGAGAGTTTGAACTGGGGTGAGGCCATGTGGGCAAGAAGAGAATTTTAGACATTTTATGCATATATGCCCGATACTACATTGAGGGGAAAGACATGGAAGAATCAAGAATGATTCCAGAAAGGTGAGCTTGGCTGAAGGAAAGAACAGAAAGAAGTGAGGAAATAGAGCATTTAGGAAGGAAAGTAAATATGGCCGAGGACATTCTAAATGAGGGTTCTGGAAAGACAGATAAGTTGAGATCTGAGCCAGCAACATAAATACAGGACAAGGACTTGGAACAAAGTCAAAACCACAGAAAGCTGAGGTGACAAAGATGAGTACAATCACCAAAAGACAAAGCAGAGGAAGAAGAGTATGGGTAAATGTCAGTCTCACCCATTTTTCAGGGACACTTATCTAGAAAGATTGATTCTTTCTTCTTTTAAATTATATATAGTCAACAGCATTGGGATTTTGTTTATATCTGGAACTTTTAAAAGTACTGGTTAAGCTTTTTTGAAACATAAAGAAAGGAAAAACGCAAGCTCAAAAGCTCTTACCCCTTGTTAGTTTTCTGAAGTGAAGTGGTCACTTTGACAATGTTCTCGAGATCCTGACTCCTTCAAAGGATGAAAAAGAAACACAAGTCAATGACAGCAGAGCTATCTTTGAAGTAGCTAGAAATTCTTATGTTTTCAGTAAAGAAAACAATAGTCCATGTGTTCAGGAATTATTGAGTTTAACTGCATAATGAAATAATTCTATCATGTCAGCTTATGGGGTGTGTAGGTGGGGGTGTGCGCGCGCGCACACACACACACACACAAACACCAGTCATTTCACTGGGCATTGGCTCTGCCATCTAGTGCTCACTGAAATAATACAGTTTCTCCTAAACACACTGGCTTCTCCCTAGTTCTATACTTAAAGGATATGGAAAAGAAAGCAGAGTTAACTACATGAGTAAATACAGACGTGTGTTCAGAGGTTTTTTGACCAGAGCCAAAGAGCATTAAGCAACATGTCCAGATGATTAATTCATCCCTCACATGTGGTAAAAGTTTCTATCTTCTTAGGCTTCCAAAGGGAAAGAAAGTACATTTTAAACTACAGGGTAGGTGGAAGCACCTGACACAGAGGGCTTGAATCCACACTAATCCCCCTAGATCATGGAAAGGAGTAATTGGGAAAATCCTTATTGGTGTCCCTGTAATTAAGACCTGTGTTTCACAAACAATCTCTCATAGAAGGTTAATAGGGTTCCATGAAGAAAGAATTTTGCAGTCAAGTAAATTTGGGAAATAAAACCAACTTTTGGGATTCTGAATGTATATAAGCACATTGAAGGTTCTGAGAAGTCCTGTGGTAGAGAACTCTATTTTATTGTGTCTCCTAAATGGGCTGGCCATTAAACTCTTCTTTCACAGAACATGCATTGAAATCTGTGGCACATGGGACACAGCTTGGGAAATGCTGAGATACGGTGGCACTTGAAGTTACTAAGTACAAGGGAAACATGATTCTCCCCAAAGTAAGGTATCCATGTGATGTATGTTTCAAACTCAGACTTTTCTGAGAGTCAAGGGAAAACCCAAAAAGTATGTAAGTTTTGAACTTTGAAAAACCGGTTGGTCCAAATGGATAAGATGGTATATTTATTGTTATGTTTTTACCATAATAATTAAAAACTGCTTTATCATATTGATAAACCTATAGAATATCATCATTTAAAACTAATTTCAAAGATAGGGGAGTTTTTCTAAAAAAAATAATAAAACCAAGATATAACCAAAATACATACTAAACCAGATGGGATGAGCAAGACAACAGGCATAAATCAGGACTGTTATGGGGAAGCCTTACCCGAAGATCAATAGTATTTGTGAGCCTTTTTCTGATGATGTGGGTGGAGCTGGATATGGCCTTATTATACAGCCAATTCTAGCAAAGCTTTTGCAGAACAAGTTCAATAAAATGACTATATTTACGCCTATTCATTTAAACATCAACACAACTCTATCAGACCTTGGAACAAGTGCTGGGAATAAAGAGGTATTTTCCTTTCTTAAGGGGTTTATTTTATTCTGTTATCATATTCAGACAATTCTGGTTGTTTCTTAATGTAAAGCTAAGAATAGAAATAAAAGGAAAAAATTCTGTAGGTACATATAAAAATATTAATTACCCACTATATTGAAGCCAGCTGGAGAACTGATTTTGTCTATTTTATTATTAATTGTCTTGTATTTTTAAGTATTCTAATAAGGCAAACATTATCATTTCTACAATTACATAGATGTAAATAGAGATCATTGTACCTTATATTTCTTTCAGCAGATCTGTTGGTTTCTGTATATACACCTGGTTTAGGTGGACATATCTGCCTATATTTTCAAAGTTAAGGATAATGTCTGTTAGGTAAGAAAACACTTCTCTGTTAAATATAAATTTTTAAGGAAACATTCATGTTCAAAAAGATCACAGTGTGTTGGATCAATAGCACTACTTGAGATAACAAACTTTAGCTCCTTTGGTTGGCTAGAACTCAACCATTTCTTTTTATTTTTTTAAAAAATTTTATTTATTTATTTGACAGAGAGAGAGAGGTAGTGAGAGCAGGAACACAAGCAGGGGGAGTGAGAGAGAGAGAAGCAGGCTTCTGGAGGAGGAGGGAGCCCGATGCGGGGCTCGATACCAGGATCCTGGGATCATGACCCGAGCCAAAGGCAGCCGCTTAACAGCTGAGCCACCCAGGTGCCCCTCAACCATTTCTTATTTGAAAATCTGGAGTCCAATGTAATAATTTTGTAATTTGGCCTATCTCTTTAAATATATTTTTAACTACTAGATATATCTAGAAATATCTGTCCCAAATGTGTTTATGTTCATTTTATTTTAGTCTCCAGTCATCAATAAAGCATTTTCATACTTATCTCTTAAGACTCTTTTTTTGTTATTAGGCATCAAATGGATGATTTTATTTTTCTTAAAGACTTATCTCATTTGAATACAATCCAGAAATATCTTTGCTCAGATAAGATTGGAAATATTTTAAATTTCCAACATACCCACCACATTGAGAATTACCACACAGAGTTGACAGAACAAGTTTATGATGTTAGGTTCTGTCACAATTTATGGTATGAGGTTTTTCTCTGTTATTTTCCTAAGTATCTGACTGACCTACTTATATATTCTTGCTTGTTCTCAAAAAACTATATTCAACTATTTTTTGTCCTCCTGAGGACATGTGTTAATTACATAGGAAACACTTCCCTTTCATATTCTTTCATTAAAATCATCTTGCTGTGATTAAAGTAATCAGGGTTTAAAACATGCAAGTTGTCCTAATTTTATTTTTAAGATCACTGGTAGAAGAAAGAAATTAAAGTAGTAAAAATGGATTAAACCAATTCCCGTGAAATTTAGCTTTTTTTTTTTTTTTGACTCTACACAAGCTCACTGCTCCAGAGTCGCTGATTTTGGACTAGAATTTAGATAATACTAAAGCCAGTTTTTTTAAGCCCTCTAAAAATTCTTATTCAAATTAAGATTTAATGGCTCAATACTATAAAAGGAAAAATAATGTAAGATAGTAAGCTTAAATTATTTTAAGAGTATAATTATAACCATTGCATAAATAAAAAGTTATAACTTTGGTCTATATTTTTCATTAATTCAGTGAAGAAGTATATTCTTGGCTCATTAAAGGGAGAAAAAATATCTTCTCATCCTAAGGACAAAATTTCAAAGATCCTGCAAAGTTTCATTGAATAGAAATTCAGACCTCGGTTTTTAACTTAATAGGCTGAGTACCTAATGCTTCATAGCCCTGCTGGCCACTCAGCATTTTCTAGCTGAAGTTACCCTCTTCCTGAAGAATATTTCTAGAATTTCCTTTCATGTTGTCAACAAAAATCACCATCAAAATGCAAAAATACAAAAGAATCAAAGGCAGGTAATCAAGTGGATCTAATATATTCAGTCTTTAATGAGATACCGTTTTTTAAATCTCATAATAATAATGGAAATGTGCAATGTACGTCTCGAAAAACAGCTCGAGATTATTGAACAGTTTAACAGAAACGCATGGAAAATTTTTCAGATCTTTGAATTTGTTTCTAAGTATTAATTATAGAGTATCAGAGATTCAAAATGAAAAAGCAAGTCTCTTTTTTTTCTTAATTCAGAGACAAATTAATTAGAACATTTTTTAACTGTAATAGTTTTGAAATAAGTTGCAAATTCCTTACCTAAAACAAGACTAAAGAGCTACCCAAAAGTATTTCTAATATAAGGGGAGTGTGAGCAGTAACACAAAGTTTTAAGAACATTTTTCATCAGAAAACGTAGCTTTTAATGGGAAACTTAACTAGGAGTAAATATACACCAAATGTGTGTGTATATATACATATGTGTGTGTGTGCATGTGTATACACACACATATATAGTTTCTATCTAGATTACATATGTCAAATACTATATATGTATACATATATATTTATGTATTTATATACACAGGGACAGAAAGCGTTTCCTTATATAATGCTTCCTCATACATAAATTAGAAGAAACCAGAGGATGAATATTTCTTGGACATGAATACTGTTCAGTTTCTATCTTGAAGGTGTATTTCCATAAGATGGGACATGGCCATAAGTATTCAAAGGCAAACATAAATACGCATTTGTGTTGGTAATTAGAATTAGAAAAGCTTTAAAAGTGCTTCTTCTGTGAATGTGTGCACAAAACATACCCATGCTTTGCACAAAACAGGTCACAATTCATTTGCTTTCATTTCTTTAACTTCTTCATTTGAGCAAGAGATTCTGGAATGCCAGGTCTCACCTATTCTCCCGTCTCAGCTGGTTAGGAGATGGAACAGGAGAACTGGGCTTTGGAGGTATGGGAGGGTGAACAGTTGGTTCCCTTTAAAACAGAAAACATCAGTTCATTTCACCATGGAAATATGGCAAATTTTAGCATCTATTAACTGAATGTACTTATGGCCTATATGGAAATAACTCATGCGTCTTAAATCCCCCCACCACACTCCACCCCTCTGGCAGGAGGTAGCTGAAAGGCCAGAATCTATACAGCACTAAACTTTAGAGGAGTCATATATTTAAATTACTGGTATTTTCAAAGTTCATTTAAGCAGGTTTTTGGAAACCCTATCCTCTTTCACTATAGTTTGAAATATAATGTGTCCTTTTAAAAGCTTAATATTTTGCTAGACTATCTAGCTCAAGCTGTGGCATTTTGGGTCAGCAGCGTGTGAGCGTAGTAAATGGTTCTTGGGCATTAACATATAATCTTCTTTAAGAATTATATCAACCATCAGGCTGCTATGGAAACAGCAAGAAAGGCTTTCAGTTTTACAGACCTCAAGATAAAGTTGATTTGAAGCTCTTAACTAAATCTGACTTAAATATTGGCAGCACAGGCCAGTTTGCTGCTTGCAAAGCATGTATATGCTGTCAGCCTAAACTTTCCAACCAAGAGCCAAGGCAGCCTCTGAGCCAGCGTGATTTGATAACCTAGGAACGGCAGACAGGCATCATTCGGATGTCCATCATTTGGATGGAGTCAACACCTTACCTGGGGCATGTCAGCCCTCCACTCCCACCACTACCACCCCAGTGGCTCCTTATTAAACTCCATACCTAGTAAAAGTACACTTGTGGTCTAGACTCCAGGTACCCCTCTGGCTTCTACAGCATGCTAGGTGAGCATGGAAGCTCTGGAGTCCAGCTGTCTGAACTGCGAGCTGTGTGATAATGGGTCAACCTGATACCATCTCTTTGTCTCTAATGACCTTTCTCATAGGATTGCTGGGGTGTTGTCAGGACTGAATTAGACCATGCTTTTTTTTTTTTTTTTAGATTTTTTTAAAAATTTATTTATTTGACAGAGAGATAGAGAGCACAAGTAGGCAGAGTGGCAGGCAGAGGGAAAGGGAGAAGCAGGCTGTCTGCTGAGCAGGGAGCCCGATGTGGGGCTCGATCCCAGGACCCTGGGATCATGACCTGAGCCGAAGGCAGCTGCTTAACCAACTGAGGCACTCTACAAGGCACTCTACAAAGTAGATAATCTGGGCTCCATAAGCCACCCCCTGCATGTTTTGCTAGGAATTCTTGGGCAGCACCAGTGGCTCAGTTGAGGTTTGTGGTCATGGAATTAAAATAAAGCTAGCTGCCATTTTTTTCTCTTGCCACATTCAGCTGCTTAGGGGGCAGAAACAGGCAAAACAGAGAGTTGGATTTAACTAAGTTTATAATTCAGACAAGTGAGTGCAACGAAGAGAATGGTGGTGAAGGAGGGGAAGGGGGATGTGAGGAAGTGATGATAAGGAGGGACCATGGGATCTGAGATGGATATGGAGGGAACAGAGGATATGAGGGAAGAGGGAATGTGAAAAGTCAGTGGATTGGTGGTTGGCAGGGGCAAAGCTGAGAAACTTCTGGAATCAGAGGACTGGAGAGTCGGCTAAATGCAGTAGATAGAGAGTGGAAGCAGAATGGGAAGATTTTGAAATTTTGAAAATTTATGGTTACTCACAAGGGGAAGATCTATGGGTGGCTGAGGTAGGGCAAAGGATGAGATCATTGGAGAGAAGATCAAGAAAGTGAGAAAGTCAGGGTGGGGAAGGATCCTCCACATGGATTTGGAAATCACCAAGCATTATGACAGGAGACGCGTGTGAGACAGACAATGAGCTTGGTGCCAGAGTCTTCAAAGAGTGCAAGTGAGTGACTCCAAGACCTGCAGATGACTGCAATGAGGAAGAGAAGTTCCTGATGCCACGATTTCAAGGAAGATGGGGAAGTTTTAGGGAGGAGAAAGCTAAAATTGATAAGTGGTAGCAAAGAGGAGCAAACAGGACCTTTCCTCCTCCTCTGGACTCGTGGAAGCCAAGTCCTCTGGGAGAGCCCAACAGAGGTGAGTGCCATTGAGTCGAAGAGGAGACTGCACAGCAGCTAGTCGTGATGATAATAGATGACACATCCAGGGAGTTACCGTGGAAGGTTTGAGTGGTTAGGCTACTGTTAGGTTGGGTCAAACTCAGTGATAGACGGAGCTCTTTGGGGCTAGTCCAAGTGACAAGCAATGATCAGACTGGGCTTCTTCTGGGAGATCCGTGGCCATAAGGATGGAGGACATGATGCAATTAGTTCTAAATCTTTCTCCGCAGAGTGTGGTAGTGATTGGGTGATGGGCAGGCAGCGGAGCAGGGAGCATGGCGAGTCTCCTGGCTCCTGTGTGGACAGTGGCACCGAAGCCAGGAGAAGGGCCTGCAGAGCATTCAAGCTCTGCCTGGCTCACAGTAAGTGCTCCCTCTATGTCTAGTGCTGCAGCTGGTGTTCTCCCACATGAGCCCCAATACTGGAGCTGTGCCAAAACGCTTGCACTCCTAACCACCCTCACCACCATGTGCTCTCTGCTCTCTGGCCTACATGCTTCTCCCTTTCCCCTGGAATAATTCCTCCTTGGTTACTTCCTCCTTGCCCTTCAGACCTGGCTTGGGTGTTACTGTCTGTGGTGGTAACCAAAGCTGTGTTCGATACATCCCTATGTCTCCCCATAGCACACCCTCTTTATGGACTGTATCACACTGTTCTGGATTACACATAATTTTCTGTCTCCATACTGGGCTGAAAGCTCCTAGAAGGATAATTATATCCCAAGTACTAGGACTGTGTATAATTTTGGTGCCCAATAAAGATGTGTTGAAAGAGGGAGTGACTGGCTGGATTTCTACTTGGTGGGGAAGGAAATGAGTACTGAAGAGGGGCCTGAAACTTATAAAATCTGTTCAAATCTAGCTGTCCCACTGGAGAACTTTACTGTTAATTCCACTACTGAATACTGAGTAGGTGCCAGGAGCTCAGATGAGTTATGGTGTTACATGATATGCCTGGAAAACAATTTACATAAGAACAGTCTCCCCGTTCTGGTTTAGTGTGAGATTTTACAACTAAATATTATTTTATTGGAACTACCATCATCTTCTCTTCTCAAAAAATATCTCTGTGTTGGGGATAATGGGAAATCACAAGTGATAATGTGTCTTTCGTGTATCTGGGTGGATTAGCTGATTATACACTTTTCTTCCAGGGATATAGGAAAGGGGTAAGAAGGTGGTCAGTCCTGGCTAGTAAGTCTGCACAGGACACTGGATATCTGAGAATAGGCAGGAGAGAGGTAACAAGATGGAAAGGAGGACTACAAAAATGAGAAATAGGATGGTGCCAAACTTTGCTTATGCCAGAATCACATTGATGAAAAGCTACACTTCTTCCATGTTACAATGGCTAAGCCCTCAGAGAGGTGGGTAAATATTGACTGGGTGTATCTGGGAAAGAGGTATGGGTAGAGAAGTAGATCTGGGTACATGGTGTGGATATGGTTTGGGACGACCCAGAAAGTAAAGGTGGGCATGCAGTTGTACAGGCCAAGAGAAGCAGAGGAGCATATTTATTTCCGAGGGTGCTGCATTTAGACCCCCGCTGTGCCAGGGCTAGGCAATGCCACATTGACTTCAATTCACCTCAAAGGAGCTTTCATTTGCATCTCTGCAATGACAGCCACAGATGACAGAAGCCAAGCCCTTAGGGGCAATGAGAGAAGTCATTCATGCCATGCCAGGAGCTTGATGAGATGCCAAGCAGGGGGATTAAAATGCAAGAGCGAGGCAGGAAGCTGTGGCCCGGAATGTTTTGAAGAGAAGGAAACAAGGGACATGGATGTGGAATGATCCTGTTTGAATACCACTTTGAGATGCAATGTTTAAGCTTGGCTAAGTTGACCCCTGGCTCTACCCTCTGTCTTTCCCTCAAGCCCCCAAGACCTTTGCAGGATCGACACCACCACATTAGTGACTATGATTATAAAGAATAACTTTCAGGAATAAAAAGGCAGCTTTCACAAGAAATGGGAAAACTTGCAGATAATAGCCCAAAGGCCAGAGCTAATAGAAATAACCCTGTGAAGTGGTTTATGTTACTTTATTTTCACGTGCTGCTACAAAGATCACTTCTTTCCATTATAGCTTTTTTGCACAACATGCCCAGCTCTGTAAATTCTGTTTGACTGCCTTTGTGAAGAGCATTTCATTACTGCGGCACACGCCCAAATTGAAACAAGAATAATTGACTCTAATATTTAACTCTGAGTTTTGTTTTCACTTTCCATCACACTTAGCCCTTGTTTCCCACACACAGAATTTTTAACAACAATGACAAAGGAGATGGAACTTACATTTTTTTAGTTTCAGTACCATACTAACTTTGCCAAGCTCTCACAAACATTATTTTAGTCCATCCATACATCTCTCCCATGGAGATGCTTTTTTCAATGAGTCAAAAGGTTGAGTAATTTTCCCTGCATCATGGTGGCTAGTAAGTAGCTCAGCCAGGGTTTCAACTTAGTTTTTTTGATGTTGAATCTCATGTGCTTTTCTCTATATCCTACTGCATCAAACCAATACTCTTCCCAGTATTCCCAGTGAAAATCTAATAATGATAGGTTGTCCTGGATTGCTTCCTTGCCCAAGGACCACGTCATTAGCTCAACGGGCACTTATACCACAAATGCCCCAGGTATAATGTTAGGACACGTAGCAATGCAGAGCAAAATTGGGTGTTCAAAAACTAGAAAAGATATGGTCTCTGCTCTCAAAGAGCTTATTGAATGCAAGGCATATGTTCAAAAGAATGATTACTGTAATGAAGTCTCACTTCATAGTGGCCATTTCAATAAACCATAACACAATAGAGCATGCACTGGACTCCAATTCCAGAGACCTAGGTTCTAGACTAGCTTTGCCACTAACTAGAAAGAGAGCTGATTCTCTGAAACTCTGCTTCTTTATAAAAGGAGAAGATCGGTCCAGGTCTGTGGCTGGCAAACCATTACATGACTGTGGG